TATTATGCAGGGTAGAGTTATCATTCTTGTGTGCTGCACTCCTCCTCAATGCGATCTGTCCACCTATGAAATTTCATGTTGACATCTCAAAGACTTTTTGAATTATGCTCCACTCAGGTGAAAAATTAAGTATGAAACATAACAAAGGGCAATAACTAAAATTATAAAGGGTAGAGTTATCATTCTTGTGCAATGCACATCTCCTGAGTGAGATCTATCTACCTATGAAGTTATTGATATCTCAAATGCTTTTATAGTTATGCTCTGGACAAAAATTAAGTTTGAAAAATACAAAGGGCAATAACTAAAAAATTATGCATGGTAGAGTTATCATTCTTTTGCGTTGCACCTCTCCTCAATATGATCTATCCAACTATGAAGTTTCAAGTTGATACCGAAAATACGTTTTGAGATAAGCTCCGGACAAAAAGTATGAAAAATAACAAAGGGCAATAACTCAAAAATTATAAAATAAAGAGTTTTCATTCCTTCGCACAGCATTCCTCCTCAATAAGATCTATCCACCTATGAAGTTTCATGTTGACATCTCAAAGACATTTTGAGTTATGCTCCACTCAGGTGAAAAATAAAAGGGCCATAACTGAAAAATTTTGAAGGGTAGTGTTATTATTCTTGTGCACTGCATACCTCCTCAGTGAGATCTATCCACCTATGAAATTTCATGTTGATATCTCAAAGGCTTTATGAGTTATGCTCTGATTCTTAATATTACCCTGTTTTCTTGTGACAAGATATGACAATTGTTTGTATTTTAGTTGTACCCAACAACGATCTGATCGAATACGGTTAGATCCTAGTGGAAAATAGTTACTCTATATTCGGATATGTATTGTACAACAAAATGCGAACAAAATGGCTTATCTTGTCGTAGGGATGAAAATTTAAAGACGGTGTTGGTACGGCCGTCTAGACGTTTAACACGATTATTACATTGTCGTTTAAACAGTTAGCATTTTTTTCTAACCGTTACATCCCTATTATTTGACATAAAATGAGCAAACTGTAAACAAACTGTATTTTACTTCCGAACAAAATACTAAGTCAATATCTGTACCAATAGCCAAAAAGCATAAGAAGCAAAATATAGTTCAGATAATTTTGCTTATGGGTAACGTTTTGGAAAATACAACAGGACAACAAAGCTTTAACGATTTTAAGAAATAACAGTAAAAGCATTTCTGAGTCATAATGGGCCTTTAATGTTCTGAAATTCGTACTTTTTTTGTTAAAAGCGTTCAATTTATATTTAAAGCTTTCAAACCAAAGAAAACACTTATAGACAATATTGAGGTTGACAGTCCCAAATGCAGTTTTAGTTCCAAGAAAGGCCTCACAACGGTATTCTCCCGAATCATCTCGCTGCGCATTAGGTAACGCTACAGCTTTCAATGTGATATTGGGACTGTTAGATCCCACTGCCTCACCATTGTGCAACCATTTGATCACTTATTTCTCACTGAAGTAAATGTAAAACACATAATTATTATGACAATTAAAAAAAGGATTTATATGTAAGAAAAGAAATCTCTAAAATTCGTCTCATATAAAGTTTTAGGTGTATTAGTTTATATATTACATAAATATGCACGTGACTCATTTTTTCAGAAATGTCTTTTTTCAGTCCTACTATTCCCCAATTGTATAAGACTGTGTATCAAAAGAATGGTGTCAGTTCGGCAGTTTATATCGAAAAGGTAGCACTTTAAAGTAAACAAGGGAAGTTATTTGAATTTGAAAAAAGGACACAATCTTTGCTAGAGCAGCAAATCAATATTTACCTAAAACGGACTTCACCTATCCATACAATTTGTTTGGGTCGTCAAATAATGATAGCGAAATTTCAGACCCTGATATGTTTTTTTTGTGTAAAAACCGAAAGTAGTCACGAATTCCTCGAAGCGGTTACTTCCCCTTATAAGTACACTAATGTCGAAAAATTAAGGGGAGATCACTGCGTAAAGATTGTCAAATGACAGGCGCATTAATTTTCAAACCTCTTATGGAACAAAAAATTGTTCCCGATTGATGGGAGTTTTTTAATATTGTGTAATTCGTAAACATTTCAGCAAAAACACTGATTGACAGTTTCCGAACTAGCAGACGACAGCCTATACTTATCAGTAGAATTGCGAGTAAAGAAAACCGTTTGCGTATCTCACTGTATAAAATGTGTGTAAAAATGGTCTGACATGGTCTGACATGTGGTAGGTTCAACCGTAAATTCAAATACATTTAGTGTCAAACAATGTGTTGAAATTTTAAATATTGAGACGAAGCTAGGATCACAAACTCTTCATTGGTGTAATAAATTTTAAAATCGGACATTAAATTGCCCAAACTAGCGGTGTAAAAACGGTTAAATTTGCATTGTTTTAGCATTTTACTCGAAGATAAGGGAAACAACTCGTACTTTTTCACTCGATATACCTCGGTTATTTACGTAGTTCATATAGAGACTGTCAATGGGTGTATTACCGGTAATAGATTCAAATAATTTTGCTTGCGGATGAATATCATTTTAATAAATGAAAATTGCTCGGCTATTTCCGTAAAGCTTCGGACTTTTTGTGATCGCCAACATTAATATTTGTTATCTAGACTTTCTGAAAAATAAAGTAAGGATGTTGACTCTAGGATAGCACATGCTTATTTACATCAGTGTGAAACAACAGGTATACCGTGAACAAAATATCTCGAAATTAATGACTAAAAACCCTAATTTAGAATAATATGTTTGCTTCAGGTTGATATCTTATTACTTCCCCGTGGTCCAGACTTCAGAAGCGAGAGGTCTAGGGTTGGAATCCCAGATAAGGCAACTCTTTTATTTTTTTCTTCTTTTAAATTGTTCAAGCCAAATAAACATTGAATTGAATATCAGTGTTGCAATTAGCCTTGGTTTATAATCTCACACCCTTCACCTTTCTGACATTCTAAAACCCAAACAAATTCAGCGCCTTCTGTGCTTTGATTATTATTGCATCTATTTTTAACATTAAATACCTTATTTAACAAGAACAGTATGCTTTTGTTTTAAGATTTTAATCCAGTATTTAATCATATTATTTGAATAATGTTAAATGAATTCTTATATACAACAATGTTAAATATTGGTCTCTTATTGGCAGCGAGAACATGTATAATTAAGAAATCCATACTTCTTTTTTTTTTTAGAAAAGTTAAACATAATTGAATAATGTTTTGATAATGGATTAAGAGCATGTCATATGTTTAACTACTCAGGAAGCAGCTCTGAGTCGTAAAGGTAGCAAATGTAAACAAAGTAGTTTATTGAAAGTTTAATAATATTTTATTGCATATTTTGTACATGATTAATTTACACAATCTAACATCAATATCTTTAGCATGAATATAATGTACATACAAAAGGGTTGGACCAAAAGTTATACCAACATTATCTAGGGTCCTATGAAGGTCAATCTTGTTGGCTTAATGGTAACATAGTAAGTAAATGTGGTTTTTAGAAATTCTGAGATATTTATTTATATGATAAGCGATATTAATTTCATGTTTTTTAACTGGTAGACCTAAAAAACAAAGAAAATCACAAAATGACTTAATGAGTTAAAATGGAAAAAAATATATGCCATTAACAATTTGCCACTATAATAAACGCACCAAACCTTGATTTGCAGCAGTATTTTAATAAACTTAATATGAAAATAAATACATAGTATAGTATATGTGTAAACAAAATTAGGTAAATCTTCTACTACTTTTGATGAAATTATGCACTTCTTGAAATAGCCTTATGTTTTCGGCTTCTGCAAGTCCATCAATACCGTGTAATAATTTCTGACTACTGAGAGGATGAAATGACCTGGTATTCAAAAAAATATACGTCTATGAATAGTATACAATTTACATCGGAAAAAATAGTGCTCCGCATTTTCGATGTCTGCGCCGCATTGGCATAATGGACTTGAAACTAAATGGTTAATAAAAAGATCATTATTTAAATTGCTACAATTGTTTCTAATTCGGGTTTGGTGGACATTTAAGGAACGATCTCCGTATAAGTAAAAAGATGGAACTACTGGAGGTTTATATAACTGTTTAATCTTGTTTTTAAATGAAGCTAGCGACTGTGATTCGCGAATGTTTGTCGGAAGATTATTCCATAATTGAATAGCTGATGGAATAACTGATTTTGAGTAAATTTCGGTACGTCTGGCTAAAGTGATATAGTCACTATTATTTCTTAACGAATAATGGTTTTCTAACGCCACCTTGACAGATGGTGGAAAAAGTTGCATAAGATATTGTGGTAATAAATTATATTTTCCTTTATACATTAAAACTAGTTTTTGAATTTGTCGTCTGTCTGAAAGTGAAACCAATCCTATCTCCTTAAGTAAATATTGAATTGATACGGATCTTGTTGAACCAGTTACCACAAAGTAGTAGTTCGACTTCCGTACAAAATACTTATTCACTATTATTATACACACTGCCAACATAACAAAATCAGCAAAAGATAGACTTATCTATGTATATGACAAAAGATACCAAACTGTAAAAAGATACCAAAAAAAAAAAAAAAAGTTTTTGAGAAATAAAAAACGATAGCATTTCTAAGACATAATGTGCCTTTAAGCAAATATGAGATAAGAAATATCCGAAGCTTTGCATCTGATACCAGTATTCTCCTCTGCTCTCTATATTCAAATGATGCATTTATATTATTTATAATTCTGATTCAATACTTTCAAAATCGAAATGCATTTAAAATAAGTCATATATATTCAAATCAGAAAACCGGTTTTGCAACTAAAAACCATGTCTTCCTTTTTCTCTCAACAAATAATTGTTTGCTATGTGGGCAAAATTTACATACATGAATTTTTTATAGAGTTTCAGCGTTTATTGTTTCATATTTTGCCATGTTTCATTAAATATTCTATGGAAACTATTCAACAAAATGACTTTACCTTCAGAAATCGATACACATCGACGGAAACTGTTATCATATATAGACAGTTGCGGATCACTGATTTGATGACACTATATGGTGCATATTTAATTAAATGACTTTGCAATCAATTTGATATTTGGGTGTGTTATGACATTGCATTTAGTTGGAAACGGGACGTTGAGAATGGCGGAGTCGAACTAAAGACCGTTGTTATCAACAAGAATTTTGACATGTTCACAACAAAGGTAAGTTATTAAATCATAGTGAATTATATATGTATATATTTTTCATTAGCGTTGTTATATACATTCATCGAATATTATCTATTAACATTAAATATATCTTTTCTCTCTATTTTTAATTATGTGAAATATTTGTTTAAGCTTATCCTGAAATGAGTAAAAGGGATATTCAAAGTTAATAAATTATAATTGTTTCCTTGAAACTTTACATTCATTGCTTAGTACTAGTTGGTTCCAAGAAGGGGTTCAAGAGAGTTTCAATAAGCTTATAGCTCCAAACAGTATCGAACTACGATACATTTGTATAATCAACGTTAAAAATGTTATGATACCGAACGCTATTGCATTCACAAGTCAAACTTGACATTCTTAAATCTAATTAGTGAATCAGTTAAGATAAATCTATATAGATAATAATAGAAGGTACAAAGAAGTATATTACAAGGCAATTAATTAACTTCAAATTACTGACCTGATATTTAATTTCGTAATTATTGTTTTAGTAATATATCACCATATAGTCGCTTATACATGATATAGATGAGCTTATATCCATTTTTCTGTTGTGAATTTAGTGAATTGTTTTCCCTTGAATGTAATGAAGGTCAAAATATGATACACTGATATTTTTAACCTTTTAACCTCGCCAAATTTTAAATTTGCTTTTTACTATGCCGTGAGAACGATTTACTGTGTCACGAGCACGACATACTAACACGAGTTAATTTAGTCAAGCGCACGAGTTTCAATGTCTTGAGTACGAGTTTCTTTATCATGCGCGCGACCTTATACGATTATACTTATACGATACAATTTCGTGCGCACGAGATAAATAAAAACATACACATACGTATCAATTAGTTGGTTCGACATATCCCTTTTTAGAAAATGTAAAATATATGTCAAAAATAGTTTTACAACCAGTTGCTTTCTTGATACGACACCATCTTGTTCCCGCTTTAATGTTTTTTTTTATTTTCAATGATTTTTTTTCGTATATCGTTAAACTTTAACCGTCATATACGAATACGAATAATTTATTTGCATCCAGCATAGCACGATGCTTATAACAAGTATAAATTGAAACATATAAAATGGTTTGGAGATCAAAACATAGATTTCACAGCAAACATAAGATGATTTATGGAATATTTTGTTCAATATTCAATAATTAGTATGTATTATTTATATTGCGCTTGCATGCATACGTTTCAAATAAACAGACGCCAACCTATACTATTCTGTTTCCGTATATTCTAAATAGTAACAGCGTGCTGTAAGTTGTACGGTCGAAAATGTGTAAACTGTATCATCGTTTAGGCACCTTTCTGTTGAAAATGTGTCAGAATTAAATCGTATACATACACATGCACAGTGAGTTAACTAGAGTGCAAGTATACGTTACCCGCACTCAATAGCATGCCCATTAATTGGCTCATTTTTTCTTGGGTTTACTTATTTTAACGACTGAGAAAGGGCTAGCGATATAAATGTCATATCCAGATGCTCGTTCATAGGCTATTGTTTTTCTGGGGTTTCATATGGTGACAACGGGGAACGGGTTGTTATTTTTGCCTATGATATATAAGAGAAAGAACATAAAAACACTCGGCTATGATTTATACCCCGCAAATCTAATAGCCTCGTGTTTCGATACTCTTTCTATTACGTAGAATGTCAAACGTTTTTATCTGTAATATTATATCTTTGAATATATCTGGCCATAACACATCCATAACACCTAAAGCGAAATTTGAATGAACAACGTGTTAAGCCTCGGTACCATATAGGTTGAACCAACGTAAATGATGAGTACACATGTCTAAACAACAAAATGCTAATGAGACATTTTGAGAAATTATAACTAAAAACAATACGAGATACTCGATTTACCATTAGGCAATATTTAGTGCGAAGTATCTCAAAACATAATAGCAATAACAATCAAAGCGTTCTTCATGCACATTTTGCTATCTTTATTAAAACAACTTACATATTTACGACAGTTGCTAGGCCCGATCTTAATATGGTTCACCGAAACGTGCACCGGTTAGAAAGATATGTTGGTTTCCGGTGATCGTATGGAGGTCTCAATTTCCGGAAATTAAGCCGTAAGTTTTACAATTTTGAATTAATGTTGTTAAAGGAACTATCATTTAAAAAATGCGAAATGCCTTCTATAGATTCTCGAAAGTTTGTCATTCGGTGAAGTTTTTTAGGTAAGGTTTTTGTTACCGTATATTAAATAGTCTATGTGTGTCAAAATCTTACATACCGATGTAGAAAATGACAGGAACCGTAAAGGTGTAAAACATACACACAGACCCTGCCTTAGTAAGCTCTTTAAAGAAGATTATTATGGCCATAATTCAAATTGTGATCCATATGTGGATATGTGTTCCATATAAAAAATAAAAATATGCCATAATACTGAAAATCTCTTCGTCGCCAAATACAAATTACGTGTAAGTTGTTCATAATTATAGGTCAAGATTTTTTGATTGTATGAACAAATTTCCCGCATCGATATTTTATCAAGAGAATTGTTAAAAATGTATATTGTTCATATTGGACCCTTTTAATTCAGAGAATGAAGTGGTACGGAGAAAAGAGCGTTATTTCAGCGTCAATATCGTCCTCATATGGACGTTAAACCAACATACGTTATACCGGAAACCAGCATATCTCTTTAACCGAGAGCCGCACGAAGTTTATGTGCTCCAACACCCGTTGCTACGAGCGCAAATAAACAATTAAATACGATGATTTATGATCCATCCGGAATATATGGAAAAATTAAAAAGCTGTTGAAAATCAATTAAAATGGGTTTAATTAACAAACTGTACTATTTCAAGTTTGAAATATTTATTTCATAGGTTTTCAAATTGATCTGTATTGATTTAAATTTAAATTGATTTAAGAGAACAGAACCTCACATTTCCGACCACGGGATGTGAATATTTTATTGCTACAACAAAAACCAAATACTGGTTGATTATATGCTAAACAATACGCGTCACTTTTAGGCGGGAATCAAATATTAATACAAACCAAGAATTCAACGACATTGTCAGTAATAAATTTATTTCATTATGAAAAAGAGCTCGTTACAAATTCTATATTCCCCTATTCCCGTTTATTGTGTAAAAAAATGACAACGAAATATGACAGCAAAAAAAAAAAAAAAAAAAAAAAAGAAAAAAAAAAGGGAAAGCAGCAGTAAAAGCATAGCAGACTGGCGTTTCCACGAGTTTTACCCGTGTGGCACGGGAGTGCCAGATGAGTCGCGTGCCAAACAACAACGACAATTTAGCGCACTTTATAAATGAACCGCGTTAAAATGACGTCGTTTTAGAAGGGAAATATGTGCTTAGGATGACGTCATTTCGCCCTTGTTATTTAAGTTGTAAGTTCATACGCTATTGTAAGAAAATAGTTAGGGATGAAATGACTTTGATTTCCATGAACATACATCATATTGAGGGAAACCATTTTAAATATGAAATAATATGGCAGAATATGCAAGAAAAAATATCTGACATATGTTTGCGGTTCGGATCGGAATATCCGTCCCTCGGGAACCCACCAATGGGTAAGTTTGAGTAAATATCAATGCTTACAGGGATAGGGAAGGGAAAAAATCTTAACTGAAAATTCTGAAACTGAATTGATATTAAGAAACAATTCAAAGCATATATTCGTGATCTAATTGTAAAAAGGAATTAATATCTTTTGAGGAAAAATTGAATATAGATTCACAATCGATAATAAAGTTGTTTATATCCTATAAAGTTGGATGTAGAAAAAAATCTTATTTAACATAAGGAAGGCACACTGGTTAGTTTTCAAAAAGACATTAAACATCAATGCTTGTGTAGACTACTGCAATTTACCATTAAGTAATGTTATATGAACATCGATGCGTTTGTCAAGTTAAGCCTGCCTTTTGGCTGCATTGTGGTAGTGGTGGTGTTCAACCAGCTTCAATCCAGTAAGTCACATTGAACTAACCAGAGCACAGTTCAGCCACCGCATCGTTCCTTGACAGGCTGTCAAGCAGTTAACCATTATTAGTTGCCTTCACTTTGCAAGGGACTGATAAATTCTGTACTTGTCGGAGCAGAGGTACAGTGTGAATGACCTTAGAAAGGATATCATGATCAATCACAACGAAAGTGACATTCGCCGTCCGGGAATAGTTAAAATGTTAAGATTTGTTGTCCGTGTATTATAATATAATTGTTTATATTGGTGATTTAAATGATTAGAGAATACCAAACTTAGAAGAAATGTGAAAGCGATTCGGGGCATGAATGGAACTATCGTCTAAAATAGAGAAAAAAGAATCCCTATAGAAAGACTCAAAACATCAAAATTAAAAATGAAGACTCTGTTTAATTGAGCCTGTACATTGACAATACTGGAAAGTACACTGTCCCCGATTCCCTAGCACCAGCTTAAGGTAGTTTTTCTGTAATGCTTTGTAACACCGCACTTTGCGGTCAAACGCACTTTGGGGTCCGACCCCAAAGTGCGTTACGTACTTTGGGGTCCGACCCCATAGTGCGTTACGCACTTTGGGGTCCAATTTCGACCCCAAAGTGCGTTAAACAGGTACATATGCATTTTTTTAACATCAGGCAAACGACCGCACTTTGGGGTCATAGAAAATTAAATTTATTATGTTTTAAATAATATATTGTAGTCAAAGCCAATGGTAAACAGAAAAATCAAGGCATTAAATAGACACAAACATGTGCCCTGAATTATAGTAGAATCAATAGGGATTTAAATGATCTTGATTAGTAAGTGAAGAACTTTCACCAAATAAATCACCAAATAAAGAATTTGTATCAATTATTAAGCTTAAAATATTTTTTCTCAAATTTTCAATTTATTTTAAAAGAATGTACACCTTTCATTAATTCCATTGTTTTTAGCTAAATGCATTATTTTCCTGTTTTTTATTTACTCATTTTTAAGAAATATGATAGTCTTAGCATAGACAAAGGTATAACTTCTGGGCAATTTAAGTAAGACATTTCAGTAAAATGATAATATGTTGAAAGGGCAATTTATTTAGCTAAATGTGACATATAAGAAACTTGACTAGGTGTAGATGCGGCTTTAAGTAGTAGTCGTACAGGCAGTACTAAAAATATCAACTATTTAAGTAGTCGCACATTAAGAGCGGAGCTTCAGAATAATGTTAATTCTCTTTGGGGGTATATAGGAGATTGTGGGGTATTGATCCCCCCGAGGGTTAAAAATAACGTTTTAAAGGCACATAATGCTTTTATTTGTTTTTCTTAAAAGCTTTTTTATTTTGATGTTCTTCTATATTATCCAAAAAATACACATTGGCCAATTACCTGAACCATCTTTTTCATCTGTTGCTTTTTGGCAATGAGTACAGTTATAGTGAATTAGTATTTTATATGGAAGTCAAATACTACAGTGGTCGTTTCTTCTGACGAATAATATCACAGTTATCGCTACTTTATTCAGATAACAAGCATCTTACATTTCTCAGATACCATTATTTTAACATTATAAAATTCATGTTTGCTCTTTCTTAAGAAGTATGTAAGAATTAGATTTCCCATAAAAAAGCCTCTGGCGAACGGTTGTTACTGAGATTACAAAAACCCTTAAGTTTGTTGATAAGCCTTATAATGTTTTTGTAAAAATCACTATTTATAGTCCGATCGAAAAAAAATTTAAGTATATTTATAGTTCTTTGGAAAAAGACATTAACTGCATTTTTCATTTTTCATTCCCAACATATTTAAAATGGGTCTCAATATGGCACCAAAAGTTATTAAGTAAATGACCGACAGAACGGGATACTTTTCGCAGCATCTTTTAATTCTAGGAATACACAATTTCTGTACTAGAGTATTTTGAACGGTGGCATAAAAGTGACATTTGTATTTTTTTTTATACTTTTTTTTGTTTTTCGTGCATATTTTTGTTTGCTGTCGTAGATATTTTTTTTACATGTAGTTTTGCATACATATTCTTTTTTAGTTTGCATACACATTTTAATTTAGTTTTGCATACATATTCTTTTTTAGTTTGCTTTAGTTTTTTTTGAACATATTTTATTTTTGTTTTTTCGTATATATTTTTACATGACGCCATTTGCAAAGTAGAGGTTTGGATAATTACACCATTTGTTATACACCATTTTCAAACACTTCGCCATCTGTAAATTACAGTACCCCATTTGCAAATACCAACATTTTCATTTTTTAGTATCCGCGCTAACCCAAAGAAAGGTTCTGCATATGGTCTCGTTGTGGTTAACATTTGTCACAAGGTGCCTTAAAATCCTTCATGGGGTTTCGGAGATAAGGAGCGGACATGAAACCCAAGTCTTTATCCTTTGACCTGTAGCTGTGACCCCGACCTTGAGCCGGCACACCTGGCATAAAGTTCTGTGCATTATCTGGATGTGCTAAGGAATTGACCTAAGTTTCATAATTCTCAATTCTCAGGGGGGTGGGGTTGAGTGGTGCATATTCATGGAATAATAACTGATCACCAATCAACAGCCCTTTCCAAATAGACACTGATATAACAGTATATAATAATAAAAAAAATAATTAAATAAAATACATATAATATAAAACATGGGCCGAAAAGGGTCGGCCGAAAACGACTGGGCCGATTCCAAAAATGGGCCGAAATGTGACCTAACCACTCTGCTAGTTTTCTACTCAACTATAGGTTGAGATTTGAAGGCTGTTTTGATTGGCTTAAATATGTATGAAAAACAAAAATAACATATGTACGAAAAACAAAAATAAAATATGAATGCAAAACTGAAAAAATATGTATGCAAAACTAAAATAAAATATGTATACAAAACTAAAAACAAAAAAATGTAAATGTCACTTTTATGCCACCGTAATTTTGTTATATGAACAATATTTTTAGATATTTCAAGTGGTAACATTAATGATACTTTTATCACTTAAGCATCATAAAGTATTGACCGCCATCTTGAACTCCAACTCAAATATTCCAATGTCGAAGATAGAAAATAAGTCAGTACTCAGTATTTAAGCAGAACTCAGATGACACTTTTAGACCTCTTGAACCCAAAGTGCGTTGATATGTAGCATATTAACGCACTTTGGGGTCAATTTCTCGATTTTGATCCCAAAGTGCGTTTGACCCCAAAGTGCGGTGCGAAGTTTAACGCACTTTGGGGTCGGACCCCAAAGTGCGTTTGACCCCAAAGTGCGGTGTTACAATGCTTACCCGCCAAAAATTCTAACAATGTCCAATGTCATAGCAAATTGGTTATTTCAAGAACGTTTTTTTTTTCTCGAAATATTCGACATTTAATTATTTACAATTATAAACGGTTAACATTATTGAAAAATAACGTTCCGGAAATGATCAGTTTATTACGATATTGGCCAATGTTAGAAACTATTGACGGGAAAGCATTACAGTAAGATTACCTTATAGAACAGAAATTGAAAACTTATAAGATTTGCTCTATACGTATGTTGAAAATATAAAACATTTATATTGTAGAAAATGAACGACCTGGTGATGGTACCCTTGTTTTTGTTAGCGACAGTAATCCACCTTACAGGTAATGTTATTTTCTTACACCAGTCTTGTATGTTTTGAAGCCTGGAAACGTGATAAAACTTGGGAGTCCTAGTGGGAGCATATAAGGGGAAAAAACTTTATCCCGTTTTTAGTACTAAACTAGAAAGTAAAACTTTAACAGTTTTTATTAAATATATCTAGAACGAACGTCCATCTTTGGTTCGCTACATTATGTTTTGATGTTCTAACGATTTCTTAGAATAAAAACATTTTTTACCCTCGAGTCGACGGGATATTTATAAAAACAAAAACAAAAAAAACCGTAAGATAAGGAGCATTTTTGCAGGTATGCGATAATCTTCTGCCAGATATTTTAACCAACTCCTGCATGTTAACTTGATTTTTTTATTTTTTTTAACAGACATCAGACAATAATTGACAGACAGGAAGGCTTACAGACAGACAGACAAACAGGCATTCAATATCAAACAAAAACATGTCGATTTTTTTAAAATTAGAACTGTAAAAAGGTTTCAATTATTTGCAGAATGTATGGTCTACCACACAGCGTTCCTTGGAAGAAATTTTTCAGCACCAATTGAAAATGGAATATATGGGTTTTTACAGTATCAGGATTTATCAGAGAAACCAAATGTAGTTGACGAAGTGAATTGTACATGGACACCTGACGGTACAATGATAAAAGCATCATCACCGGAATGTAGGGATCTAATTCCTGATGGTTTTCAACTTTCATCGACCGGTGTCAAGGTTGAATCTTCCGAAGAATTTACTCTGCATGTGTATCAAACCGATTCAAAAGGTAATCTTTCCGACGGGTACCTTGCTATTCCAGACGAGCATCTTGGTACAGAATACTATGTTTCTACTTATTGTTCGTTAGGTGGTCACTGTCAGATTGCTGTGGCAGGTACTACCGACAGCACATCGCTTCAGATTGTCTTTCCCGAGCATATCCCACCAGGGTCTGTCACTTGCAATGGACAAAGTATTACCACTGGGGACCCAGTTTCGTTTAAACTAAACGAAAACGAGGTATTGCATATTGAAAGCAATGAAAGTCAAGTTGATCTATCAGGCACTTACATAACATCTGATAACGTAATAGCAGTGTTTATTGGAGCACGAGATGGTCCAGATGACGCTTGCATGATTGAGCAAATTCCTCCTGTTAACAAATGGGGTACTGAGCTTGTTGTAGCTACAAATGTCCTCAATGACGCAGGTGATGCCATAAAGATTATAACCCAAAGTGCAGATACAACAATTCACATCCTCAGATATTCCCCATTCACAATTTCTAACGCGGGAGACTATGTTGAGCTAAGGATTGACTGGGAAATGCACAGTACTATCGTCGCAACAAAGCCAATCCTTGTTGTACAGATTATGTCTATTGACATCTATAACGACACGTCCATAGTAAAAGGAAAACCTGCCATGGTGCTTGTACCCCACGTTGAGCAATGGACCGACAAAGAAGTTAAGTCCGATTGTTTTCTAAACGCAAGTGACGATAGCATTTTAACAGCAGTCGCAGATTCGGACGTAGTACCATGGGATACCAATATGTTTGATATCACACAAACACCAATTAATGGTAGCGAATATTTTGTGGTAAAAAATAAACCTAAGGTAGAAATAACTGAAAGGATAACGTCAGTAGGTGGAATAAACCGTACTGTTTATGGCTATTGTAAAGGAAGGGCGGCAGTCCTTTTAGCAGCGAATTGGTTATGGAACAATGAGGTAATACATTTTTATTTTCTTGGTATAATGGTACAATGTCGAACTGTTATGGTGTCTTATTTACGCCATGTTGTAATTTCGCTTCTTTGCCTCCAAATGCGAAAACGCGAAAGGACGACAAAGCTTGACTGTGTCCTCTCTTCCTGTTTTTCCTTTTTCGGGTTTTCGAGGCGACAATGCGACAGAAGAAGTGCGAAAATACGACACATGCAATCTCGTATATATTTGCATTCCATCATCTGTCGTAATTTTGCTTTTTATGTAACATTGCGAAATGTGTATTTGCATTTCTGTATTTTGAACGCAAAAAAGCGAAAACACGACAGATGAAATGCAAATAGACGACGGATTTAACGTCTCGTATTGTCGCCCTTTTTCTGTCGTATTTTCGCTTTTTCGCCTCGAAAATCAGAAAATGCGAAAACACGAAGAGACGACAAAGTTCATTCGTGTTTCCACATTTCGCATTTTGGAGATAAAGAAGCGAAAACACGACATGGCGTAAATCAGCCACCATAAAAGTAGAAATCTTGTTTCGAATAAGACCCGTTTCGATTGCGGGAGAGTCATTGTTTTGATCCTGAACATAGTATACTGTTCTTAATTTTTCCAACATGGGTCAGACCCGTTGTATATGTTTGCTATATTCTTTTTATAAAATGAAGATAAAGAAGCAAAATAATTGCAGTAAAATTGCCGGATCACAAAATTGTTTGCAAATTATATGTTAAGATAGGATACCGGGAAAAATAATGTTTTAATCTTCTGCATACTTAAATGATGCGTGTTGTTTTTGTGTGTCGTTTTCTCGTCTTTGATAGTTCACGTATAGTATCATTAAATATACTTATAAATGCATGCTCTGTAAAAAAGTATTATTATACATACATGTATTTATATTAGTGTTTACTAGAATTAAGAATCAAGAAATCTATAGTTAAAATTATATGTTTTTATTGCTTTTTTGGTTGGCTTTTTTGTCGCACAACACTGTGAAGGTCATATGGCGTTTTTTTCATCTTGACTGGTGAAGGAAGACCTTAGGTGGCCTTCCTTGTAATACTTATGTAGCATGATGTTTTCAACGGTAACGTTTCAAATAAATATGTTTTTGTGTGTTTTCAGGAATGTTTTCGAACTCGTCCGATGCCAGGAGACGGAGTGGATAATGACTGTGATGGTAAAGTGGATGAGGACAACTGTACAAAGGATGATTTATGTAAGAGTTATTGTTAATAGACTGTATCTTTTTTTTTTATTGCCGGCCGATGTAAAAAGGCAAAAAATTATTGTATTATTATGTTAATACAACACACACAGCAACTGTTCTCAGTAAATACCACTCACTCACTCACTCACTCACTCACTCACACGCTCACCAACTCACTCGCTCACTCGCACACTCACTCACTCACTCACTCACTCACTCACTCACTCAACTACTCACTCACTCACTCACTCACTCACTCACTCACTCTTACTCACTCATTCACTCACTCACTCGCTCACAATGACTTTTTCAAAACCGCTTTGATAAATAGAACGTTTAGTCATGGCTTTAACCAAGTCACATATGAAACTTAAGTTAGTCTGAGTGGACAGCTTTAGAACAGAGAATCATTAAATTTCGCATTGTTAAAAGTTATTTATATTTTAACTTCAGTCGTCAATTTTCATTCAACACCAAACAAAACCAGCGGAGAGATTTACTCCAAAACGTTGATTGTAATTGGTGCTTCACCAATTCATTTTAGTGTGACAACTTGTGGCGTTGCTGCAGTCACGTTTAAGGTAGCCAATGACCAAAGGAAATTGTTTACGGCACATGTAAGTATTTATTACATTTTTAAGTTAAAGGGACACCACTAAGGTTTGTTTTCAGATGACAGGACCCGAAATAATTGTTCAAGATTAATGTTCCATTTGATGTGGGTTTAGACCAATAACTTGTATGCAAAATTTTACGTCATTTACTGACTCCGTTTTTCCAGAATAGCCCTTTTTTACTGTAAAAATTGACACAAAATTGAAAGGTCACTCAAACAGGGCTAAAATTAGCGCAAAAATACGATTTAATATTTACTATATAGGTGTTAATTATCTCTGTTTTATATGTCCCTTGGTTTAATATTCTGTCCCATGTGTCCCCAACTGATCTACGTAAGAAATTAAAATTTTAAGTGTTTGTTTTGTTGTTGATTTGTTGTTTTGTGCTTTAAGTACATTCAGATTGAATAAAGCTTTAAGCTGAAACAACGTTTAATATAAAAAAAGGCATTTTGGAAGTAATTGTAAATAATTATGTTATTTCAGGCAGTATTTTTTTTCTGAAACAAAAAGAAAATAACGGAGTGTACGACAGAAAGAATAAAAAAGTTCAATGTCACGTGATCACTATTATTTATAGCTGTTATTTTTGCTGTTATGAACCCATTGACATAGGCCTATGTGTCTATAACTAATAATAATTAATTAATTAATGGATAAATCAATAAATTAATGGAATTGGTAAAGAACACTTTAATTAATTAATTAAAAGCTTGAAAGGAGACACAGGCAAAATTTTAATTTCTTAGTTTTGAATTTTTCATTCATTATTTTGTAAATGTCCTCATATTGAATACACTAAACAGTCAAAGGAACCAAACTTTTCTCCATATAAAGAATAAAATGGTGTTTTCCTAACTTGAACCGCGTGGGTCAAGTTAGAGCGCTATATTTCACAATAGTTATCACTGTGTACTCTGAAAACGTTAAAGAACATGTCAAATCAATTACTTAGACTTGTTTCAATCATACAATATCCACAATACCTGTTATTGTAACTTCCAGGGTTTGTTCAAATCACATGACTTGTTTTTAAAATATTCGGAGATTCTGTTAGCGTCTAAATTTCGTTGAACATATATAGATATGTTTAAGCTTCAAACCCAAAATAAATAGAATTTATACAGAAATTCATGCTGTGGCTTTAAGAAATGTCATTTTAGGATGATTTGAGTTCAGAAGATCATTTATATATTTTTGTCATTATTTTACCTGAGTATCCCTTTAAAGCCAATTAGCATTGTTTCGGAAACTTTAACAAGAAATATACAATTAATAGTACCTTTTTTACCTCAGATTATTGTAAAGAACACTTAAGCGATTTCCTTATGACTTTACTAACTTGTTTAACTTCATTGAGCAGGACTTGATTGAGGTTGCCTCCTTCAAACGTTGTTTTACTTTCCTTCAATATTTCTTCTATCATTTTAATTCATGGATTACAGGATTTCTAAAAAAATTAATTCGCCCCCGCTCTCTTTTTAGATTTCACACAGAATGGTATCGTTATTATTGTCATGCCCAGGCGGATGTCCAAATGGTAGTCACTTTCATGACAGACAAGCAAGTAGCCCTTGCGTTGCAACTAAACAGGAATTTGAAATAAGATGGAGTATTACAGCTGAAGATACTGAAATTGAATTTGTAAGTCTAACTATAATATATATTTTTTTTTATCTATAAACAAAATAAAAAGGTTTTAAAATATACACCCCCGATTTTTATTGCCATGGCGGGACTGCTTTTTTTATTTTCATGAATTTTTGGTTTAAAGGTTTAACCAAAGACGTGGTTTTTATTTTCAGATCTTTCCCTCAATCCTTTTACTGAAGGGTTTTTTATTTTAATTGAACAAAATTTGAAGAACATTTATGATCCACGCTTTTAGCTCATATCGGTCTAAGAATAAAACAAATATACGATTTTCAATTTAATTCTTAGTTTATTTCTAAATTATCTTTTGTTCAATTTTCCACCTTAAACCCACATCGATCTATGAAAATAAAAATAAAACAAAAGTTTTATGCTTGAGGGTTTTGAGCTCGAATTTTCTTTCAATGTCTATGTAATTCATGTATGAATCGTTAGAACTGCTTTAAATTTCTATTTAAAGAATATTGTTTTGTACTCCAATGCGATAACAGACAATGCTTAGTAAGGCAATCTAATTAAAAATCAGATCATCGTTACTCAGATCCTACGAGCGTAGGGTAGTGAAGCGACAGTTAGGATATGATTTAAATGAGATTGTATTAAAGGTTAACATGAAATTGTGTATGTAATTAGGATGCAGACAATTACTTATATTTACTACATTATAATCCGATATTGATAGAAACAAACATTTCAGCTGTATGAAAACGGTACGCTTAACAGAACGTTTGAAGTCCCAGGTGTACAACTTGACTTTGATGTTATGATTATGGCGGCATTTTCAGGCAGTGCGAACTTTACAGTTGGTAAGTGTGTTTGTCATTGTAAGTTGTGCTGGCAATGTTTGGTGATACCTTAAATGTCCTGTATGTTGTAATTAAGGGTGTTACCACACCATGTGTAATTTTATATATGTATGTAATTATGCTTCTAAACCAATTTTGAAACATCTAAGAATTGTGTAAAATATGTGCTGAAAATATTTGTCCACAGTTAACATATGTAAACATTAAAATATATGCATTCATTTCTTTTTGAGAAATTTGACTTTATCGAAAATGAAATTTTAATTACCTGCCTTCATTAACATGAAATGAAAAATCGGTAATATCTTTACACAAAATGCTTTTTTGAACTTATAATATTGATACATTTTCATTTGAGCGTTTTATTTATAATATAAAACCATACATAATGAGTTACAGGATCTTTAATGAAAATGATCATCTTTTATAATCATTACATTAAAAAAAAATATGTTCCCATTTACACTGTCCGATTTTGCGTTCCGGTTTGCCACGATTTAGGAAATCGGGATCAACCATTGTTAGCCGGCGTGGGGCCGTAGCTGTTCCGTGAAGTACCGGGGCGAACCTTGGTGAACCGGGAAAAACCAGGACAAACCGGGAGATCGCCATGGTTGTATTAAAATGTTTAATTATAACCGGGCTTCACCGGCATTTACTGGAAAGGTGGCCGACAACCGTGTTCTATCGACTTGGCACCGGGAATCGCCGGGAATCCACCGTTTCTGTGACGCATCCATACCGTGACAAACCCTAGTTAACCGGGTTGCGTATTTATCAATGTCAAAACAAAAAGACAGAGAACCTGTGAAGACGGTAAAAATATGTAGAGCAACTGTAGAGCAAGGGTACATTGCAATTATTTGCGACAACGCTCCGGTTGGACCCGGTAATGTCCCAGATATAGCCGTCAAGTCCCGGTTGTACAGCGGTGATAGGCGATGGCGTCATGACTTCATGCTGACAACAGGCAATTTAAAGAAAAGGTATATACACACATGAAGTGCTAATTTGGATACTTTTGTTAAGGGAAGACGAAGAAGGGCTATTCTCTGCTTTTTCATCTGAGGCGAGTTTTCATTACTGTTCTTCTCTGAGTCGTTTCCAAAGGTACCTCAACCTCTGTAGGTGTTGTAATCACAGTTTTCCTGACTTTTTTCCTATGTCTTTTGGGTGAAATCTCTGCTGTCTTTTAACCAAATGACTGATGTCAACATGGTCATGCAGTTTTATTATCGGGATGCATCGGACAGTGTACATGTAAATGGGGCTTTACCATTTTAACTTTTTTTTCCCAATTTCGAAAATAAGCGCAAAAGGTTGACTAATCGATTGTGACAGGGTAGTGTACATTGGAGCTTAAACGTTAAAAAGTGTATTTGTACCCACGGATAAGCTGGAATAACTCTAATTTTCCAAGTTCCCGATAACATCTTTAGATTTCTTTTAAATCAAAATCAAATGAAATCAAGTCATAAAAACGTATAGGTTAACTTGTAACCTACAAACAATGTTCCGTTTTCTTTTTAAAGATGATTGAAAAATCAATTTACAATATTAAAATTGCGATCTGTCTTTAAAGGGACACTCGAGCAATTAATGACAAAAATATAAAAGAAAAATCTTATGTATTTTAATCCACGCTAAAATTAAAATTTTTTAAAATGTCAGCAGGAATTTCTGTATAATTGTATATATCTTATATGTTGAACGAAATTTAAACGCCAGCAGAATCACCAAGTAGATTTAAAACAAGTCATGTGATTTGAACAAACCTGGGATTAACAATAACATATATTGTAGATATTGTATGATTGAAACAAGTCTAACCCATTTTCATTTGATATGTTTTTAACGTTTCCATGGTTCACTATGACAACTATTGTTAAATCTTAATCCACGAGGGTCAAGTAAGGAAACCAACATTTATTTTTTATAAAAAGAAAAGCTTTGTTCCTGGGACTGCCTAGTGTATTCATTTTCAGGACATTTACAGAATAATGAATTGACTAATTCAAAACGAAGAAGTGAAAATTTTGCCTGTGTCTCCCTTTAAGACATAATTTTCGTCAATGATATTTTCTCGGGCGTATACTGCACAACCTCAGCTAGTTCAATGGCAAACTACCCGAATCATTCTTCTGTAGCATTTATGACAATAACTGCAGTTTTAAGGAATTAAGTATTTTGTACTGAAGTCAAAATACTCCTTTGTACTTTGTTTATATGCTAACGTTACTTCTTTATGACGAAAGTTTCAACAACCCAGGGATAACATGCATCTGACAATCATGCTTTAATAAACAAACCATTATTTAAATGCCATAACACTCATTTTTTCTCTTCCAAAGAAGAAAAACGTGGTAATCATCGATGTTTGTGAAAAACATTTTATAATTTTAACTTTTTACTATATAGCACGATTTTTTTTTTTGATATCCGAGTTGTGTCTAGTGGACTTTGGTTACACATGCCTATTCGATAGAAACACTAATTCAAAGTCAATTTCAATAGCTTATAAGTCCCTTTATTCCGCGATTACAAATAAAATGAATTTGAAACAATTAATAACTCTCCGTTTTCTGAAGGTAAATTAAAGAACAAAAAAGTGCGTAACTTAAAATAATAAGTCAAATAATATCTAAGATCGCGCTGACGCTATTTTTGGCATACTTGATCTAACTAACGTTTAAAAAAAGAGTTCACAGTGAAAGTTGCATCCTTGGAGTGGTGGAGGTGTTTGTAATTTTCACTCCCGGATCCACGGCAGTATACCACATTGAATATACCAGAGCAACAGTTCAGCCACTGCATCGTTCCTGGAAGGCTGTCAAAACTGTTTAACCACTAAGAGTTGCCTTCACATTCGCAAAGAAACTGATTTTTTTCTGTTTGATGCCAGAAAGCAGAGATAGCAAGTGCGAATGACCGTAGAAAGAATTTTCATGATCAATCACAACGAAAGTGAAACAGTGCGCGCACAGGGAATCAAGCTCGGGTCGTCCGATTCACTGTCAAACGCTTAAACTACTTGGAATCGTGTATGCGCTTGTTTATAAGGATCATGTTAATTATTCAGGTCATTTGGGTAAATTGATCAGCATTCATATTTTGACCGCAGTCAAAATCAAGCTTAACCTATTTTAGCACATCTCGAAAATTTAATCTCCGGCCAAACTCTATAAAATAATCCCTTATTTGAAATGACAAACTTTTTGTGCAAAAATACGCTGACGAGGTTGATTCCTGTCGCGCAGCTGTTGGGACTAACCCTTCCGGTAACAATAAGCCACAAAAAGCTTAACATATATAAAACTAAAATGCATTTTGCTTGACCAATTTCAACTGTCCGACTAGTGTCCTAATGTACTTAGTAACATGTATATTACGCCATAGTGTTATAACTATACCTGTAATTTGCTACAGGAAGGAAACATTTCTTTTCTTCCTGAGACATAATGTTGCCTTTTATCAGCATGAAAACAATTGTCAGCATGCATATTAGATGTACCCTTTTTTCTCTCACCTAATTGTAACTAAGATATAATCATTCCATGAATGTTAATATAGCCGTTTATCCATTATGTATTTGTTTATAATTATGTATGTATACTGGCTGATGTATTTGTGGGACTTGTGATTTTTGTAAATAAATTGTCAATATTGTCACAACTTGCCATAGCCCACCGTTGTATTTATTGGGGTCGTTTTGCAGCACGTTTGTAAGTGCTTTAAACCAAATTTAGGCAAAAGTGGCGTCCTCTCGTCAAACGTGAAGCAGAAGTGTTTTGCATAAAGGCAATGAATTGGCACCGTGTACGTGTAATAAGTTTGGAGAGTACCATTTGGGGCTCCCGACTCAGTTTTCTTTAGTGTTTCCAGTAAAACATTTCAGCCTAAAAAATTCAGTCATAAACTTAACGCCACAAAGCAAACGGCCATTTTTATCAACCGGGCTTCTGCGTCGAATACCTCCACCCGCCGAAATCGTTAGCACGAATCAATGTCAAATAAACTGTTATCAACATTATGTATTTATTTTTTACTTAAACTATAATTCCTTGTTATAATATTACAATTTATTACGATCAAGTAATAATAGTGAATTCCTTCTGTCCTGTTTATATTGGTATAGTTCCTATAAATAGCGCTGGCTTTGGTGGTTATAACTCTGTCTCAACCTCTCAAGATTTTGATTGGCCTGTGTACATTTTGTTACAATTACTTACCAATCAAATACCTAAGATTTGAATTTTAGCGTAGAGAATTTTTTTATACCTTGAACCGCTGGGAATGCAGACATACGCGACACTTGTCTAATATGTGTTTTTCAGATATATGGTCCTACAATAAGAAAATTATATAATTTAGACTTATTTATTTATTAGACTTATTTTGTTATCATTTTGTATAATTAGACTTTTATTTTCTTGTTTTTAGCGGTGATTTTACTGTATGCTTATTTTTGTTAAGAAATAGTTTTCTGAAGAAAAAAAAAATACATTACCGGTATCTATTTTCTCTTTTTCAGACTTGCCGGAGAAAAGACTGTGACAAAATAATAAGTGGTAAGCGTGGTTTTAATGGAAAACATTTTCTGCCTGTTTTACGAATTAGAAATAACATTAAACTTACAATACAAAAACTGTCATAAACTGTATCATTTTAGTCATTTTTCTGCTATATGACACAAGAAACAACAATATAATTCCATCAAAATTATAGTTTTAATTTGTCAGATGTAAACAGTGTGTCCGGCCATTTTGAAAACCGTATGTCATCATTTACCTCGCGGTAATGGTGTTTTATTTTAGTTTTTTCATGTTTCAGTTAAAATTTCTTTAAGTTATTTTGCATGATTTTAAATATAAAAGTATTTTTTACATTGTAACTCAAAATTTTATTTTTTCAACAAACAAGAACATTTAGAAAATGATGATTGTTTCAGACGTATGCACAATCTAAATGGACTATTGTTGTTCTTTTACAGAAGTTTGTAAAATAATGTTCCGTTTTACGTAAAATTCTATAGATTTAAATTATTTTTGCACAAAACCTTTGTTGTTAAGGTGTTTGGATAAAAATATGTCGATTCTGACCAATTATAACACTGGTCACATAAAATATGCCATTACCAGTGAGATAAATGATGACGCGGAATTAGTGATGTTGAGTATACTATGAAAAATAGATATGAAGTATTATGAAAAATAGAAGTCGACTATGGACGAATTCGATATAGTATCGGTTTTTGTTTCTTCTATGAAAATTAACGCACATAATTTTGAAGAAATACAGCGTTTTCATTGGATGACAAATAAAGCTGGACACTAAAAAGAAAAAAGTGCGAAATGAATATATCAGTTTTTCGTAATTTCCGTTCTGAAAATAGTTGATATGTGATATGCAAGAAAAAGAATCAAACACCGGCTGTCGATACATACAGGAATATCTAGCTCTCGACAGAGCCTCGTTACCGCCTAAAACTGTTACTCTCGAGCTAGATATTCCGGTCTGTACCGGCAGCCGGTGTAGATTCTTATATTCTAGCACCAGTGTATGCAAGACTAATTTGTAAATGGTCGAAAACAAAGTAATTGTAACAAACTATATAAAACAGTCACATACGTACACGTGTATGTTTCAGTTATAATAATAAGTATGATTAATGGATATTTTCGCTGCAGATGATGCTGATAATTATGGCATAGAATTTATAGTACCAACTTCTACAAGCACAAGCACAAAAATATTTCTAACAAACGCTAGCCCTACTATAAATGTTCATGTTAAAGTTTATGACAGTGATGGGACCCTAAAAGAAGAACCTGTTGTTTCTACTTCAAGTACATCGATGATTACGACCGCTCCAAGTAAAGTAAGTATTCTTCAAAGTGATTAAATACGTATGGTATGTATGAAATAAAGGTGTTTTACAGTTGTGCACACACACGCACAAACCGCACGCGCGCAGGCACGCGCATTCAGCAATTTCATATAATTTAATGAGCAAAATAGAAACACATCTGCTAGTATTCTATAGACAACGCTTTTAAGATTCTGATGTTAAAAGAGGAAATCAAAGAACCTAAAAGTAAAAAAAAAAGCTAACATGTTTTTGTTTTGTTTGTTTTACGGCTCACAATAATCTCGGGCGTTACAAACTTTAAGCAACATCAGATGTCAAAAGCACATCACTTGCTGGAGCAAAGAGATGCATAGACTCCAGAAATTCGAATCCATTCAGTCGCCTGTTCCGATCATGCGTTGACAAACGGCGGCAGCAATTCTGATGTCTCAACCCTTAATGGAAACCCCTCAGGCACCAACATAAGGTTTACAAAATATCCTATCACATAAAAACAAGAAAATAAGACTTCTACACGTTTTTGTGGTGACAGCATGCGTAGTTTTTAATGAAACTTAATTCTATTGTATATCAACTACTTATTTTTGTCAGGGACAAAATTTGTGATCAGATGTAATTGTCAGTTTTAAAAAATTTTGTAGCCTAACCTGTCCCCATCTGGGTGCCCAATGTCTCATGATTAGAACCCGAACCCGGGATTATCGGAATACGGTTCCGTGGCTCTGCCGACTGAGCTTTGCAGCTGCTCGCATATTTTCTCCCCGAATAAATGAACAGTTTAATACCGCGAAATAATCTGTACCATCACGTATATGTTTGTATACTTGAATGTTCTTTTCCAGATAACAGGTTGAATTACCTTTAAAATAAAAAAGAACCCACTTAGTTTTTTGGGAAGCCTCAGCATGGGTTTTTGCATTTGACCAGCATGATTGACTTTTACAATTTTTTGAAAAAAAACAAAACAAAACAAAACAAAAAACAAAACAAAAAACAACATTGTACTTTTGTAGTAAATTAGGAAATGTAATTAGAACATAATTGATTACCTTTATCAAATAATAAAATGTAAAAAATCTGTTTATTTTTAAAAGTGTTAAAATTTACTGGATTACTTTTTAACTAAGAAATGTAATGAAATATAATCGAATACTTTTAATACACTAGTGTTATAAGGTTGAAAAAAGTTTATCAGTCCCCTACCGGTTTAACTATAGGGGACTTAAGATTTACCCTCCGTCCATCTTGTCGGTCCCCCGTCCGTCCGTCTGCAAACATTTTGGGTTAAGGGGCAATATAACAGTAAAGAGAACAAAAGAGAAACAATAGGTTCATTCCGTGATCAAAAGGTTTTAGGGCTAGTAGCCCTTAAGAAAAACAAAGAAAATAACAAAGAAAATAGCCCCTAAAGCCAAAATGTTGGAACGTCCGTCCGTCCGTCCACATTACTGGATCCCGTGATAATGCAAAAAGTACTGAAAATAGTTTTATGAATGTCGATATATAGATAGATGGAAGTCTGGAAATTATGCACGTCTTCTTTTTTTCCTATGTTGAAAACTTTTGGTTGCGATGGCAACCAAATAGACTTAAACTATGGCAAATATAACAATATCTGTGATTACTCAAAAAAGTGCTGGAAACATTTTTATGAAACTTAATATATGGGTAGATGGCAGTATGGCGATATTATACATATCATTTTAATCTTGACCATAGGGGGTATATTGAGAGTGTCTTACCCACCAAGTGTCGGCGACCTCGTCAAGATTTCGTCGTATATAAACTACAACCGACTTATAGTTAGTTAGCCCCGTTAATTGAAATCGAGTGCATTTTTGAATAGGCGGAGTCCATTTAAAATTTAACGTATAAAATTAATACATACAGTTGAGTTGTATGGTAGATATTTCGGAAAATTAAAAAAAAAAATAGAGCGATTTCATTGGCAAACTGTAGAATGTTTTATGGTGGCTCTTTATGTATGATTCCTATTCATGTTAAATTCAAAATAACCCAATATATAGTAATACACATTTCACTGACCTTAAGGAATGTTAAAATAGTCTCCTGTTATTCACATTTAGGTATGGGTTTGTTTTAATATATAACTTTTTTTCAAATGTAGATACATAAAATGTATTATATTTATAATGTGAATATGTTACAAAAATTTGACTTAAATAAAATATGAGTTAATTAACTAACCATGTTTTTTCAGGTATTATTCATTAGAGCTACAGCTGAAATTTCAGTTTACGCAGTACATTACGGCAGTCCAAACGTTTATGGCTATTCTGTTATTCCCGTTGATGTCCTTGGTCCTAATTACCACGTGTTACCCAATGGTGAGTATTTCAACATTAAAGGAAATCCACTGCGGTTTTAAGCCTAAAAACATAAAATTTTGATTTTTTACATATATCTGCTTCGGCACTTAAAAACAGAACTGTATGCAAAAAATAATTAGGAAATATCATTAAAATACATTGTTAATCGTATTTCTTTTGCTATTCTTATCAATTCAGTGAAAAGCGTTGCAACGGTTATCAATTTTTTAGTGATATTTTACAATTGGAATAATTATTCTGGAACAAACGGAGTGAGAGGATGATCTGGAATTTTGCACACAAGTTGTAAGTCAATACCTACAGCAAATGGTACATTAATCTTGAAAAATTATTTCCAGTCCGTCATTTCAAAATACCTCAGTGGAGTCCCTTTAAATACTTTGGGTAATGGTGTGGAGAGAGCAGAGATTTCTTCAGCAGTGGTTGATTATAGACATGTAAATTTTGCCTATAACAATATGATATTTGATTGTTTATTTATGATCCAAGTGAATTTACCTTTTCTTTTTATGCCACCACAGGCAGCACCTGCGATGCGATGGCATATATAGCGATTTTATCTCTGTGTGTATTGGTGTGTGCGTGCGTGTGTATGTGTGTTACGTAGTTAAATTATAAAATCATCATTTCAATCAAACTTGCTAGAAATTTTCCATTGGTGACTTCGTTAAGCACTCCTCTACAAAAGCTTTACTCATTATCCCCTAGGGCTTTAAAATGCCATGCAGAGGTAGTTGGGGTTTTCTTTTATATAAACCTATATAATAAACAATTTTTTTAAAATCTTCACTTAAACTCCAATGACCAGATCAAGGATATATTGCATAACGCATCACCCTGTAGTCCTATTGGCCTCACTCCGAAGTTTAATAAGTTAATTTAGAAAAGCAAATAGGAAGAAAACAACATTAGAAACTACAAGGCACAGAGCTTAGATATTTGACATACAACAGTGCATAGAGGACCGCTACGAAAAATTTACAAATTCGCAGGCCTTTTGCATTAAAAATGTATTTGAAATGAAATAGTTTTCTTTCCCTAATTGAAAAATTACGAGGGATGATCGAAATGTATTGCTTTTTTCTATCTGGAGAATACGGGGGGTGAGGCAAAGCAGTTACTGTTTCTTTTTTCAAAAACGCCGAAACTATTGCGGAGGTATGAGCGGGGGTATTGTCATGTAGAAGACGATATGCTTAAAACCATTGACAGGGCGTCGTTTCTTATAATACTTTTTCAGTTTCTACGTCTTTGTATTACTTCCCAGTGATACTTTTGCCCTTTGTCACCTGCACTTTTATTGCAACTCCTTCACCAGAGAAGAAAATTGCATACAAAACCTTCTTTCCACTTAAAGACCGTTTGGCAATTATTGGGCGTTTGTTGTGTTTAGTGGTCCAGATTTTGTTGCAACTTTTCTGACGGGTTCAAAATAATGGACCAAAGTTTCATCACCTGTGACGACATTGGCAAACTGTTTTTTGCATTATTTTGGAAACATTTGAAGCAGCTTTTTGGCCACCTTAACCCGTTGCCTCTTTTGCTCATCGGTCAACAGATGTGGCACTCATCTAGCAGAAATCTTTCTGACTTTCAAATGCTTCTTTAAAATAAAGTGAACCGTTGATAGTGATATGCCTACCTTTCGTACAATATCACGAACTGTAAATCTGGCATCTCCGTCAATGATATCCTTTATTTTGGAAACGATTTCGTTGCGAGATGAGATTTTGGCCTACCTGATTTTAGTACATTTTTGATGCACTCTACACCAGACTCAAATTACTTTTTCCATCGTTAGACACACAAGAAGGCCCATAAGCAGTAGAGAGTTTAGTCATCAACTGCTTCAAAGAGCAACCCATTTTTGAGCGAGCTTTGATGTAAGCCCGTATTTCAATCTTTTTGTCGACGCTTCTACCAACCATTTTTACTACAGTGGTCAATGACTGCGTGTATTTAAATGGCAAATTGTATGTCTTGTAATTTTGTTGTGATTAATGCTTCCGGGGGATCACTTTGTTTCCAGATTTTTACACTTAGTCTAACATATACATTTATACACCGTTGTGTAGGTATTGAATAACCCTATACAGGTATGTATTGGTTTTTATCGTGTCCCGCGTGGATCACGATATAGAGGATAATAAGCAATTATTTTCGAACAGCCCTCGTATTTCTTTCATTCCTCAAACAAATTATGTTCTGGGAGTATATTGCGCCGCCTTTTGCCAGCGCTTGACTACATTTGCAGTAAATCAAATACAATCCCAATTTCATTTTGAGTGGTATTTAAATTTTAAATACTTATACTAGTTTGATGTATATGTATACTTAAGGACAATGAAAACGCACGCCCGCACTATATGCATTTTATTACATGAAAACAAAACACTAACGACTCCATTAGATATATATCATAACTTCAATACAAAAAGCAAACTTAACAACTGAAAATAATTCAAAATGTTTGAAATCAAATGTACAACAGTAAATCGAAGAACCTTAGGTGAAAATCCGAAAATTACATTTTTTCATCACAGTAATGCAAACTTAGCAAAGGCAAAAACCAAAATGAAAATCCAAAACAAAGTCACTCATAAATGTCTATTCGTAATGTCACCGTCGGGATCTTTAGAAACGACAATATCCTCCATCAGCGTCTCTTACAGATGTACATCGTCGCCTCATAGACTTTACGGTGCGGATAGTCGCCTGTGGAATCTGACGCTATTCGGCCTGTAGTGTAGTGATAAAACGCTGGTGAATCCGAGAAATTGTAGACCGATGGACACCAAAACGGTTGGCGCTTTGATAATACAAAATTTGATTGTAAGATAGACCAGACTGAATCTGTCCTAAATCTATCCAGCGGTTAATTTTTTGTAGAACCATTGCATACTATTTGCTAGCAAATCTTCAGTATTGTTTGAAATTAAGCACCTTTAATAGAGGAAAAGTGTGTATATGCAATTTCAATGTGAGTTTTTACTGACCATTGGCATAGTTTAATATTCATTTTCATAAGAATTTTAATTGCTCATTTGTGTCTAACATTTCTAGAAAGGTGTGAAATTAACAGATTAAAAAAATAAATAATTTCATTTCATTAAGTAACCATGAATTGATTAAATCTGTTTTCTGTTTTTCGGGTACTGTCTTTATCATGCAATAACTTCATTAAAATGCAATCATTTTTCATAACTTTGGTATCTAAATGACCGAAATGCATTCGGTGTTATGAAACTGTGAAAAAATATTTAAAAGAAATGAGCCGCGTCATGACAAAACCAACATAATGGGTTTGCGACCAGCATGGATCCAGACCAGCCTGCGCATCCGCGTCTGGTCAGGATCCATGCTGTTCGCTATCAGTTTATTTACTTGTTATGGGTCTGTAAGCGAACAGCATGGATTCTGATCAGACTGCGCGGATGCGCACGCTGGTCTGGATCCATGTTGGTCGCAACCCCATTATGTTGGTTTTGTCGTGACGCGGCTCAAATATATTTTCCTTGTTAAAATGCAATTATCCCGACCGTGCGTTTTCATTGTCCTTAAGTATATTTTATAAAAAGGGAAAAGATTTCTAGGTAGCTATTTAACTGGTTACTTACACGTGTTTTGTTTAAGTATACAGTATATAAGATACCATAGCGATAGTTGCGTTGTGTTTATGTTTAAAATTAAAGTTATAGTAAAATTGTCACTAAAATACCAAGGGTTACAGTATGGCTTAAACAGTTTTTCAGCCACTAAAATATGCATGTACATTACATACAACATGGAGGATAAACACAAATACCACGTGATTACTTTTTATTAATTTTTGAAATGAATATAGAAACAAGTATTAAAATACTTATAGTAATTCATTCCCCTAGTTGTTGGAAAAAAAGAGACTGAAATGTAATCAAAAGGGTATATAGATGTAATAAGAATATCTATAATAAGGTATTGTTGCTACATCGCTTGCTACGACACCGAATGCCGACAATAAAGTCTTTGAAAAGTCATTGGACAATGTAGAGTGGATAACTGTACTTGTCTTTAAATATCAAAAGTATACGACAATATAGAAGGTAGTACGAAAGACGGGCGGTGACATTGTAAATTTATGAATTCAGTGGCTATTTCAACATCACGAGTTCACGAAGCGCATATTGTGAAGTTATAAAAGAGAATTCGTCGCATTTACTGTGATTTCAATTATTGATAGATATGTTTGGATGACAATTTAGCCGATGAATGATTCTTTTGTTTGTAAGTCAGTGTTGAGTGATGATGCAGTAGTGTGAGGTGTATCAACAATAAGATAGTGTCATGAAGAAAGAGACGTGTGCTTGAATAGAGAATTGAAACTATGTTATTTGAAGAGGAAGAGACCAATAATTGAACCTTGTGAGACATCAGCTTCAAAGAGGCACCGATGAGATTAAGAGGTTGCTAAAATGACTTGCTTCTGTCTATTTTAAAATATGAGTAGAAATACTAAAGTACTGTTCCGTGAAAACCAATAGATGGAAGTTTACTTATAAGACCTTTATGCAAGACACGGTCAAATGCATTCGAGATGTCACAAAAACACATTTCTTATTTCTTTGCCTCCATCAAAGGCTTTACAAATTTTATTGTATATAGGGATTATTGGTGTTTGAACCTCCATTAATAAATCCAGATTGAAAAAAGAGAGTATTTTACTTTGAATAATAAAGTTGTAAACATCTATGGACACAACGATTCATTTGTTTCACGACAGTAAAGAAAGGAGATTGACTTTAGTTTCAAGGGTTAGAATAATCAGACTTTAATAAAGACAGGAGTGGTGTGTGCTATTTCCTTTCTTTTTTCACCAGGTGCGTACAACAGAGACAATACTTTGTTGAAGAAAAGAGAAAGTTGGTAAGCAAGTTCAATTGGTGTTTCTTTTTAGATGCCGAGGACCGAGTCATAATCCAGACCAGATGCTTTGAATGGAATAATATTATATAGGATGGTATCTTTTACTTCTTGCGATGATAACGTAATGTTGTTGTAAGATACAGATATGCAGATAGTGCGGGGTTTAGAGGAGGGCGTTCTTTATTTATATACTGCTTGATTGTTGTCTGAAAAAAATTGTTAAGTAGATTGCCCTTGTCTTGGTATGCTGTTGCCTGAAAGATGTGTACATAAAGTGTTAGTTGTTAGTATAGGGTCACCAGTCTTAGTGAATTAAAGGATTGTATTTGATATTTTAACACCATTGTTTCGACTTATTGTGTAATCATTGATTTTATCTACAAATTTCTGTTTTGGTGGGCTAACGTTATCTACCATATTTTAATGTTTACTCTTTTCTCTTTATTCAGAACTTTCTGACCAATTATAAAGTGTAGTTTTACGTTTGTAATATGTTGTTAAGACGTTTTCGAGTATGAGCTAGTTGTCTTACATTGGAATTGTACATGTACCATAGAACACCATTTGAGCCAATAGTTACATATTTGTAATCTATTGTTTCTCAAGCGACGTTTAGAATTAATTTTGTAATTTGCATCGTTAGAAGACCAGGATCATTACTAGATAATAAATGTTCTCAATTTTTTCCAGTAAGTTACATATTTCTAGATCAAGCGGAGTCACCTTGATCACTCTTTCAGATATGTACGTCCATCAAAAGATATGTTTTTTTAATTTTTGTTTTGGGATTTTTCTTTTGGGATAATGCCAATAGGACGGCGATAGATATCTAATGCGATGAGGTACAAAGGGATCAGTTACAAAACTTGCGAGGATATTATTTATAATTTTATCTTAAAAAAATAAACAAACAAAAGATCGGTAACCAAACAAGATGTTCTGGCGATATATATGTAAATAGTCTGCAATAGTTTGATGCATGTTATATGAAGTTATTAAGTTTTGTATCTCTGATTTTTTATGAAGCAAATTGCAGTGAAAGTCTCCTGAAATGAATGTTTGTTTCATATGCTCTATCAGCGCTTTCTTCTTATAGTGACTAAAACGTAGTTATTGCCAGCGTTCGGGGGTTAAAAAATTCACCGATTAAAGATTTTTAATTTTTCTGTGTGATGTCAATCCAGAGAGTCGCTGGATCGGGTAAAGATAAATCATCATCACGGACTGTCCCAGTTAGACTATGCTTTCGATAAATTTCGACATCACCAACAGCTCTATTACATAGAACACAACGTAAATGAGTTCTTAAACTTGGTATTTTATTTTCATGGTTTTCAATATGAGGGGATTTTAAGAGAAAATAATAATATCATGAGGTTGTTATTTAATTTCTAGTATGTCTATAGCCTTAGGGGAAAGGCTTTGTAAGTTAAGGTGCATAATGCTTGTGTTTCTCTGAATGCTGTCATCACAGTCCTAATGACGAGATGTTTTTGGAAGGCGATGTTTTCAGTAAACCGAGATTGGATGGTAAATGTATTATGATGTATACATTTTTATCCTAGCATTTTGCACTAAATTCTTGCTTATTTCCTTGCATTTTGTCAGAAAGCTGTACATGTAGTTATTATTTTTTTTTCCTATCTATTTTACAGAGGAGATGTACGTCCTATTCATTCGCAGAATATTTCTTCACATAAGACTGTTATAGAGACAAAACCTTATAAAGGTAATAACAGTTTGTTCTAAGACTTATATTTTACCGGTGTTCGAACTTATATTTTTTAAAATAAATGATATACTTCTTTATCGTCTTCGGTAATTCTAAGTCAATGTTTATAGAATTAGTTCTGTTAAACATCTTATGTTGTCATACTCACTGCTTTTTTAGAAAATTACAATAATCTAGGCAATTTAATGGGTTCGAAGTACTGCATATCTTAGCCCCATCAGGTTAATTGGTTTGATCCTTGGTATTGACACCCTTGGTTATCCAATATCATCATTCTTTTTTCGGCGCCATTTGTCTTAAACTGTTTAACCAAACAAAACAACACTTTACGGTATAATGGTTTATACTTTGAAATATTATTGTTTATCTTTGGGGATAATAACCAATTCCAGCAAAACAAATAAAGGATCTTCATTTTCTTTTCTTTAAATACGGAATTTATTTTCATCAAGACTTAGTGGTATATAAAGTAGAATTTCAAGAGTCACTGTAGCTCGTGTGAAATATCATGATTTTCTTACCACGAGATGAAAATGAAAAAAAAAAAAAAAAAAAAAAAAAAAAAAAAAAAAAAAAAACGATTATAGAAAAAAATGGTAAATTTTCTTTTTATTAAATATTTTTTCCATGTATTTACCTTACGATTATAAAGATGGCTTAGTTTTAGAGGACAAAAGTCCGATAAGAACCCAGAGTAAATACGGAAAATATGTTTTATTGCAGTGAAAAAAGTTTACAGTGAAAATAAGAAAATTGAAAATATTCATTTTATTTAACACAACTTCTTAATTATATTTCATTTCTATGTAAATGTATATAAGTTTTAAGATATTTCTATAGTACACACAACAAGAATAAATCCGTTTGAAATAAATCTTCATAGATAAGGTCAATGTCGGTGAAGGTAGGGTAAGGTTCACTCAAGTAATGCATGATTTAAGCGTAATTATATTGAATGAATCCGTAAACACCATCGAAGAAATCCTATTCGTAAAAACGTCTTTTAATAGCATCTATTGACACGTTTTGATTATATAAGCCTTTGTTTAGAGCAAAATGATTATCTATTTCTATGAAAACAAATACTAATTGACTTAAGTGTTCATAGAACTGATAGGATCATCAAAAATGTTGATTCGTGAACATAGTGCATAAGCGGATATTTATGCGTCACAAACATTTTTCTAATGTCAAAAAGTGGACTTTTTGTGTGCGGAAATATTTGCGAAAACATGTTTTTTAATTCAATGCTGTTTATTTCAGTGATATCATTAATTAAGCAGGTACTTGTTAAGAATATGCTGTTATTGTAATCCTTCTATTCAGTTGTTAAATATATTTATTATTTATATAATTGTTTGAAATATATATTGTTAGTATGATAAAGAACCTGATGACAAATTTTCTTTGTCATATTTTGAAATATTTTTTTTTGCTATTTGTATTATTTACACGTATTTTGTTTCATTAAAACATTTGTGATTTGTTATGACCAAACTTTAAAACAAACAAGCAATGTGAAATAAAATCTCACTACCTGAACAGTCAATCTTATTCATGAAAGATGCTGTATAAACACGTGTTTTTAAATTATAGAAGAAAGCCTGTCTGAAAAGAAATAATTTTTGCGCGATCAAATATTTGCGAATAATTTCAATTAGCAAAAATTGCAAATATTTCCACGTCGCAAAATTAACCACTTTAACAGTACCCTTTTCATTGTTATATCATGTCTGGTCTGTAATCATCTTTCTTCATCATTTCAGTAACTTCAGCAGATCAATACCTGTTCCAAGAAGGTCGTCCACGCGCTGTGTTTTGCGGTACAAGCAATTATTTGGTTCAGATTCCACCTCGCGAGAGTCTGGGAACTCAGCATTTCATTCCTGAAATAGACATTGCATTCGACGAAGAGGCAGAGATCCGTCTAGTCGCCAGTGAGGACAGTACAGTTGTAACAATACGCGGGAATTATGATAATCTAGACACAATCGAACTTAATGGGAATGGGTATACACGGAAAGTCGTTCCAGATATGGTATGGTCATCAGTAAACAATATTAAACTGCTATTTTTTGCATTATGGCATCATATATACCTTTGAATCACTTTAGAAAATAAAAAAATCATGTAAATATTATACGAACTATGTTTAGTGCAGCCAATAATGCTTGTGCATGAATAGGTTCAATCACACCAAACCTGAGATATTTTCAATTTTGCCGTTTTGGAATTTCTTTAGGGATTCTTGTTTTCTCTGTTTTATAATCTAACGCGTCCGGGATTTGTCTTGTCCTTTTAACTGCTTTTGTTTGGTATCCTGCTCGGCTCCTTGCAGGTGGTCCCGTGTTGCTGGGACGTATGACGGTTGCGTTCATTGAACGCCGGCTTTCCCTGTTGGTCTTGTTTTTCATATTTTACGAGCTCTGTTTTAGAAAGCATATACTCTGTTTTAATCATAGTCCAAAACAGATCACTCATATCATTACACTGAAAAATAATCCGTACTCTGTATTTTATTTTAATATCATTTACATGATAAATCAAGTCTTGAAGAATAGAAGATCTGTTTAAAGGCACATTATGTCTAAAAATTACGTATTTTCAAAGAAAAAATTCTTTAGAAATGTCAAACATGTCTTTAATAAAGTTTAGGTGATTGATTAATTGCATGTTAAATGTTTTCGGCTCCAAAAGTAGCGCTGAACATGCAGTTATATGTCGTAAAGGTACTGAAATATCAACAAATTAGTATACTGACATACGTGCAAATACTTATTTACTTTTATTCTTCCAATTGCCTACAGAACTAAAGATGCAAAATATTGTTCATGTATATAGCAAATTAATATGTTATTGGAAACTATACTCAACAACAATAGAAACCTGATACTTTATTTCTTTTAAATTATTTTTAATTTGTGATTTAAATCAAAACATGTGTAGTGAGTATTCGTGTACTTTAGATACACTATACAATAACGTTTTTTTGTTTTGACCGCGTATTGTTAGTAGAATGCAGCTAAGCGTAAAATTTTAGTTTTTGCACGTGAACCCCGGGCATGCTGAACGACGTCAGATAGACCGTGATATAAGGCACTATACATGTGTTCAGTAACAATTTAGTGTTAATCACACCTAAAGTTGATATCTTTCATAATGCCAATCAGAAGCAGAGAGAAATCAAGCAATATGAATGCTGCTGGGTGGGGCATTTGTTGTTGACGTGAGTAGATTGTTTACCTGCAGTCGCAACACAGTTCATGAACTTATAAGACGCTATAGACTTACAGGTGATGTGCACGATTGTAAAAGGCCAGGTAGGCCAAAGGCAACTACCCAAAGGGACGACCGGGCAATTGTTTTAACTCACTTACGTGACAGGTTCAGACTGGCGACCTTGACCGCGCCTGCGTTTAACGTAACTGTACAAACCATTCGCGATCGGGTGCGCGCATAACAACGCCCGAATAGAGCGCAACGCCCATATACCGCCGGTATTCTCACTTTACGCCATCGTCAGGCCCGTATTAGGTGGTCACGTGCGCACCGTCACTGGCGGCGCGTGACTGGAATACTTTCCTGTTTTCAGAGGAGTCTCGTTACAATCTCAGTCATGCCGACGGCCGTGTAAGAATTTTCCGTCGAAAGGGCAAAAGGTTTGCACCTGTCTGTGTTAGAAAGCAAGATCGATTCGGCGGTGGAAGCTTCATGGTATTGGGCGGGATAATGGGTGAAAGTCCCGGCTTATTGTTATACAAGGCAACTTAAACGCCCAGAGATACATTTACGAAGTCTTGAATGCCGAGGCTATTCCGTTTATGCAAAGAAACGGTCCGTTGTGTTTCAACAAGACAACGCCCGTCCTCACACGGCCAGGATAACTCGCGCTCGCTTAGCTGCAGCCAACGTCAATACCTTGCAATGGCCAGCAATGTCTGCATATATGAATCCATATAGAGCATATCTGGTATGTGCTTGGCAGAAATGTCCGACGACATCACGCCCCACAGAATATCCTCCAAATGCATTGATAGCGGAATGTAACAATCTTCCAAATAACCTTGTTCAACGTTTCGTCAATTCTATACGTCGACGCGTTGACGCACTACTTGGAGCCAGAGGTGGCCACAACCGATATTACATTAAATGAAAAAATCGCATACATTTCAAAACCGTTAATTAAATTATTAAAACCTATCTGCACGTAGTCAAAACGTTGAAGCCACAAAATTGATAAAATATTAATTAAATTTTACACTTTCCATATAACTAGTGTAATTTAACATACTTAAACATAATTAATAAACAACAAAATGCATATCAATGTTGTGCATGCATCTCTTTTTCATGCCCAACATTTGTTTTTACATTTCCGTCATCGATTCCTGCAAATAATAATAAAATATACACGGTCAGGTTTCTACCAAAAATAAACAGTTTTTAGAAATGAAAAAGATATTTCTGAGACATATTCTGAGTAAAGGGGATGTGTTGGAATCATGTCCAAATTTAATATGAAGCTCAAATAAAGATCTATCAATATTGTAAGTTCCAAAAGCATTATTTGTTAAGATATTACCGAGTTAACATTTTATGTAAATAAAGGGAGGTAATCTGAAATTTATTTTCTATAAAGTCTAATCCAAATTTTTAAATAAGAAAGGAATGCATATATTTTAATGATTACATATATAATAATGCGTATTAACATTTGCAATACATATTTAACATATTTCTAGATGTTTGAAAATTGGTAAAGAAAGAATAATTATATACATATATAAAATTTCACAGAAGTGTTGTTACATTAGTGTTGTTACATCCTTAATTACAACATACATGATCTTTAAAGTATTTGTTTATCTATATATCTATCTATATATCTAACGTATATGATCACTACACTTCGAATGTAAAATACTTCGTTCTTATAAACACCACGTGTACTCGTAAGTCCCTTTGTCTTAGCATAATATTAACAGTTTGTTTTATTCTTCAGGTTTACAACATTTCATCAACGAAACCTATTTTAGTGCTACTCCAGATAAAAGATTATCTCTGGACGTCTGTTATTGCTATCCCTCCAGTGAGACAATATAAAACAGAGCACCATTTTCATAACTTGTATGTCGACCAGACGTTTCAACCACAATCAAGGTAAGATTCCATTATCTAGATAAAGTTAGTTGCAAGTTAGCGGCATATTGGCAAAGCGGCGTAAAGCTCATATGGCCCAACTCCCATCAGAATTGCAGCCATCTTTTATCTTTGTTTGATCGTAAGAAGCCACTAAATTGGTTCAAATAACTGGAGTCTATGCAACTCTCAGCTCCAGCAGGTGAGTAGGTTTTGACTCAAGGTATTGCTGACCATTCTCCTACTTAGGAACCTAACTACAAAAATCCCTATGATTTATCAAATTTATGGGCTGTTTTCAAAGTTTCGCACAATGTTCTCAAAAGTATTTTAAATGATTTTAAATACTTTCACCGTGTAGATTTGATTTTATTAGACTTTAAATACATCAGGTTTCATATTCGATATTAGATTTAGCACTATTTAAAACTATTCAAAGCGGAGGTAATGCATTAGGAATGTCGAAACTAAAAACGCATGGCAAGTTTGCTCGGCAGAATATTGATTTATATTATATTTGCGGGCTTTGTTGATTTAATTCATAATGACTTTATAATATAATTTTTTTCCTATCAATATGTTAAAATAAGTGAAACAATACGTTCAAATAGTTTCATGTTAAGATCTAGCTGTAAATATTAGTAAGTAGTAAATACACCGCCTTAAAGTTCACAAATATCCTAACATAGGTCACAATATGTCCATATTTCGTATAGATAGTATAGTCAGCTCGATCTTGCAAACGTCATACAAAATTATTATATATATCATACAAAATTATATATATATATAGATACAAGGATTGTTAATATGCATACATTTCTTAAACCTATAATACATAGAGGATATTTGTTTGTTTGTGTGTAAGATGAAATTTTATATCATCGAGTGGGCTTAAAAACAGTATTCTCACGACTGACGTAGCCACGAGTGATAATACTGTTTTAAAAGTTCACGAGATGAAATAAAATTACAACTTACACAATAAACAAACAAATTTTCTTTTTTTATTTTAGTCAAAAAAAATAAGTTAAAACGAAATTTCCTTTATATTTATTTAAAATATTAAAATCTGTTTTACCCACTGGTAGCCTCTATTAGTCGAATTTCTCATGAAATACAAGAAGTACTGAAAAATAAGTTCAACAATCAATGTTTAGTGGCGGTGATATCATTCATGTTATTAAACAATATGAATAATCGTTTGTTTTAATTATTAAAATAACAAATGTAGTAAAAGAAAAAGTCTCACCATCCGACCTTTTTTCCGTTACTTACAGAGAATTTATATTATACCTGACTTTGTTAAATGTAAGCGGCCGCCATTTTTAAAAGTTGTGTATTTCATTGGAGGAAACTAATTGTGTTTGATTCAGAGGGATATCATTTGGAATTGTTAGTCATATATCTTTTTAAAAGAAAGAAAACTTTTTTGAGGATTGTTACAGACAATAAATAAGTGTTGACAGATGTGTAAACATTCAAAAGGCGGCTATGAAATTGGCCTTACGAACGCTGGGTTGTTTACTTATTCTTCGGGCTGTTGGCTGCCATTGCTTTTCAAGTTTTTATATGGCATTAGGCACTTATTGCTCGTATGATACTTAAATATGCCCAAATTTCATCAAGAGGAGTTTTGCATGTGGAAGGAATTGTATTTTTCAGACTGTAAAAATAAAACAAAAAATTTAGGCGATTGATAATTTGAATGAATTGAAGTTTAACTTAGTTTTCTTTTCTATTACTTTTGAAATTCAAGTTATTTATCAAGTTTAGCTTTTCGTTTCTCAGAATATCAGAATTACAATATCAGAATTGTCAGAGGAACCACATGGGGAAAATTAAAAAACTGTAGTTTCATCTTCGGAAAGTGTGAAATTATATTTTGATAATTTCCACTCTGACATTAATTTATCAGATATGATTTTCACGGATAAATCAGTAACCCACTGAAAGCATAAAATAAAGTTATGAATTCATATCTTTGAAACATGTAGATAGGATGATGCTTTACCAGAAATTGAGCTAGTTTCCATAATTTTATCATGATTTACGCATTGATATTAAATATTGTTTGACAAAATTGACCAGATACCCATTAATATTCGTGAGCTTTTCGTTAGTTTTCGTAATTTGTTATGACTTTCGAGAGAATTAATGCTGACAAAGGAATTGTGACCACACAGTTGCAAGTTTGAATTCTGGACAAAGTTTTGTCTTTTTAGCTTAAATATTCATGAACTGCATTTTTGCATCTGTTAATTCATGTGTTGATTGAGTAATAAAAAGAGTACCAAAACATAAGTATAAATCAGATTGCTAAGTGTTTTCTCTTGTTTCATAGGCAAACGTTTAAAAAAACATGTTCCCTTACGCCACAATATGAAACCCAAGCAAAAAGTAAACAAATGAACGAGCAACGAGACAAAAAATGAGCCAATCAACGAGCAGGATGTCTAACGTTATCCCCGACAGACAGTGCAGTAACTTGAGTTCGTGTAACCAAAACCTGCAGTACAGTTAACGCACTGTGCATGTTTGGGTATACGATTTAACTCTGACACATTTCCAACAGAAAGGTCTGAAAACTCTGATACCACTGTGTGTTTCATATCAACCTCTTATTTACATTTCATTCTCATTCTTATGAATGTAATTTTTTTCAATTCATTAATTTTAATATGTTATTGTACAATAAGTGCTATGCAAGCATAAACAGTGGTCAAGTTTTGCAAAACATAAATGAAATCACATAAAAAACATGATTTTTGTATTCGAACCTGCTTGTAATTTTTAATTTGAAACTAACGTAAAGTCTTATACCTCTTCACCAAAACAAGTAAGTCAAGTGTTATGCTGGTAATTCTAAGTCACGCGTCTATTACTGTACCATACATCAAAATGCGTACGGTTTACTTCGGCATCCGATACATGTAATTATCGTCGAAAAGTCATTATATATATTCAAATGTCTCAGGTCAATATTGCCACATAATAATAGCAAATTCTAGACAGTTAAATCCATCAGTACGAAGCGAAAGCTAAAGTTGTAAGTACGATTGCAATAGCATGTTCGCAAGTTCAAATCTTCGACTTAAATTTTTTTCTCTAGATCTTTTTTCTTTAAATTATATGCAAAAATAGTTGATAAATCATTTCGTTTAATTTCAGTTGTTGTTTTTTTATTTATTTCATTAAATGTATGTAATGTTTCATACTTTCAATAGTTGGACTGGAGTCGTACAATAAGCACAAAACATAGTGACCAAGTTTTACAGCATATTAGTATTAAAAAAATGTTGAATTAAGGTTTAAACATATTAAATTCAATTTTAAACTGATTTTCTTAACTCTTTTTCACTGAGGCTAGATAGGCAGGTTTTATGTTAGAAACTTTAAGTTATGCTTGTGTCATAGTTTATGTACCTGTCTGTTGAAAATGTGTAAACTCGTATACATATACATGCACAGTGTTAACTGGGGTGCAGGTATTAGTTACCCGCACTCCAAACCATGCCTATTGATTGGCTCATTTTTGCTGGGGTTTACTTATTTTGACGACAGATAAAGGGAAGCGATATAAATATCATATCCAGATGCTCCTTCATTTGTTACTTTTCTCTGGGCTTTCATATTGTCATAACAAGGAACGTGTTTTTATTTTTGTCTATGATACAAAGAGAAAGAACATCAAAACACTATACTCGGGGGCTACCCCCCCCCCCCCCCCCTCGTACAAATCGTATACAAGTCTCGTTAAGCCATATTTACTTTTGTGTCCGATAATTATCGACAAAAGGTCATTGAATATTCAAATGTCTCAGTTCAATATTGCCAGACAATATAAATGTTAAAAGATGTTAAGAATAATGCATGATGATTTTTATCCTTTTTATTACACGAAATAACAAGAAATGCGATTGATGAAAATGGTGCAGTTATCCCTCAGGTACTAATCTTGCCTGCTGCCAATACAATTTCACAACCCGGTCCAAGTAAAACGTTTGTTCTAGACTTATACTTTACTGTTGAAATGACGTCTCCAGGCAAACTGTTTGTTCCCGGAAATGTGATGTACACTAGTAAGAAGGTTTGTGTAAATTTTAGATCGATCTTTAATTTGTCGAACATTTGTAGTGCGTTTTGTTTCTAAATGTCATCGTATAATCAGTTGGTTATCGTTTTTAAAAATGTTTTGTTATTATTCTTTGATATCTTGTTAGTCATTAATGTCTTGTTGTTCTGTTCGTCGTGCTTTATACCTTGTTGATGTTAAATGGTTCTATTTCTATAATATATTGTTGTTCTATAATATCACGTCCTTAAATATTGTCTTGTTAGTCTATGGTATCAAGTTGTTCTATTATGTTATTATGTTTTTTTTCATTCTTTACTGTTTTGTTGCTCTATAATGTTTAGTTGTTTATTGTATGCTGTTGTTCTAAAACGTATTGCAGTTTTAATGTCTTAATTTTCTAACATTTGTAAATGTTTTATCATGTGTTCTTATGTCTAGTTGCTAATTGCGTAGGTTCAGACCCTGTCAGGGCAAGTCGTTGTTTCCTTGTTATTATCTTATTTCTTGTTGTTCTATGATGTGCTGTTGTTATATATACTTTTTGTTATTATCTTATTTCTTGTTGTTCTATTATGACGCATCATTGCGAAGAATATTCTTAGATAAATCAATATCTTTTATATCGCCATTGATTTCTTTTTTTAAAGGTGTGCACAATAACTAAAGGTGTACCGGGTGACAACATTGACAACGATTGTGATGGTCTTGTTGACGAGGAACAGTGTACGGTCGATATTATACCTGGTGAAATAGGTAAATATGGTCACCTTCTTTTGTAACACTTACTTGCTTCAAGTCTATCTCCTTATACATACAACCCAAATGGATCACAAATGTGGACAAATCGTCTCGTTTATTAGGTTATGCTTTAAAATATCTTATAGAATGCGCGTTTAAGTACCACAGACTTATGTTACAATAAAATACTTGATTATTCTGTACCCTATTTCATCCAAAATATGATTTGATAAATATACTGATCACTTATCAAACAAACTAACGCACTCCAGTTAACGCACTTTGCATGGATGTGAATTCGATTTAACTCTGACACATTCAACTGAAAAGACCTAAAATATGATACAAGGGCTCTAAACCATGGGTAACCGGCGATGAGTTTGTACGGAATTGTGCATTTGAATGACAAAATATATTAAATCTAATGTGGTACTGTGCCCGAGATCTGCGCAGACAATGTTTATTTTTCAAAAAATACTTAATTTACATGTTTAGTTTGTTTGACTTTGTTTGAGAGCTATTATATAATAACAAATATTGAATAGGACTTAACACATAAGATGTTTTATGCTCAAACTGGATGTATGAAAATATTAATAATTGCTACACAGTCCCTTTAAAAAGGTAAACTAAACATGTTTTGAGTACACATATAGTATTATGTAAAACGTTCAATACACAACATGTGAGTTAGTATGAATACATAGTGTAATGGAAAAACAATAACAACAAACTGGCAGTCTATATAAACAATGGCCAACTTCACTGAACTAGAAATTGGGGATGCACCTTTCCATACGCAGTTTGTGTATTATGTAATTCAAAGTAGTCATATTCAGTAAGAATTTGATAGATTTCAATAAATTTCTGCACTACACAATATTTTACTGAAAGATTATAAACATGTTTATATTACAGACGCTGACATAGATGGCGCTCTGAATGAAGACTGTGCAAATGGGACAACTCCAAGTATGTTTCTTTATTATTATAATACTTATGAATGAAATATTGAGAAATATTGATAAAAAATATATGCGTATTTTAATTTTCCGTATTTTCACTGAAAAAACATTTTTTTCACTACAGTCAAACATATTTTTTCGTTTTTTTCAATGGTGGTCTTGGCAGTTTTTCTTCTAAATTTTGCCAGTAGACAAAATTTAAGGAAAATTGTTTGAAATTGTAATGTCAAAATAGAGAAAAAATGTATATGATAAACAGATTTTTATTTTTTTTAATCTATTAATATAGGATTCATTTTCATTATGATATCATAATTATTATGTTTCACTCATGGCTACCGCAACTTATGAAAAATTAATATTGGATGAAAATAAATCGTGTACTGATAGAAAAAAATATAATACATATTTGAACAAAATACAGGTAGGTACATGATGTTTTAAATAATACTATATCAAGAATGGTTGTTTCATTTTTTCTGAACCCGAATGTAAACATTACAAATATTAAAACAGTAACCGTCACATGCATGCACGTTTACTTGAATTACTAATTGAAACTATAAACATGTTTTGCCTTGTACGACAATAGAAGTAAATAATCAACGGCAGTTCACTGTTAACAATTCGTCTTGACGTTGTTGCTTTAATAAGATGGTTTAAAGCATTTGATAAAAATGTTTTCCTTTAGTCAACCTTGTTAAAATATAGTTAACCTATTCATACAATGCTATTTTATACTCACAATGACTTTAATAGACGATATTCTTTAACAGAGAAAATTCCTCTCTGAAAGTCTTGTCACAATCTGATTAAAATCAGCTCCAAATTAAGATCTGACGATAAACAATAGATGTCACATTCAGCCAGTCATCGGCGAGCTTTCACAATTTTTGATTTCTAATTTTAACCGCTGGAAAACCAATACTGAGTCGGTTTCACGATTTCGGGAACTTCAAAATATTTGTTTTCAATAGTAGCAAAAATCAAGAATTTGTTTTACTTCCGCGCACGACGAAATTTTGATATTTCTTCAAATGCCTATCTGTAAAAAACCCTTTTGCTTGCATGGCTAAATATAGCTTTCTCGGGAAATCCGAATCATAATGAAGGTGAAAATATACGGCGAATATAAGATCTACCTGTAAGAAATTAGTAGATCTGCACTTTAGTCAGATTGGTCTAGACGTAGTATGCACTGTGTATGACTAACGTAAAAAATGTTTGTCCTACAAACTAAAATATGGAAGAAATGTCAAATTATTATTGACAACTTGCAAGACGAAATGTAGATGATGATTTTGTAAAATATAGAAACATCGTGATGCAGTTTTTGTTTAATAATCCAGTCGTATTACTGTATGCATTATCATATCATTAAACGAAACACGCACAACAAATCATCTGTTGTTACTTAACACACAGTACCACCGTTTTTTATTATCTCTATTTCACACAGAGCCTGTGACGTCATTTAAACTTCCACTATCTGAGGAAACAATCGATTGCCCAACTACTAGTTCTACTACTGAGGAACCCACAAATACCGAAGGAAATGCTGCAGATAATAGGCCTAGAATTGTTATAGACAATGGTGTTTCACATGATATTAATCCGCCGACATCTTTCCCGCCAAAAGCCATCCAGTATGGCGAAGGACCTTCTTACACACCGTTAGCAAGTTCTGGAGGAAGTATCAACATGTTTAGTTCATCCTCAACTACGCCAAGCCCAGGATCAACTGCAGGTATTTAACAAAGCATAGACTAATATCGTAGCGTTATCTCCTTATATTGACATTGGAACAAATGTTGTGCTGAGCATTTTCCTTACTTATTACAAACATTTAGATATGTCCAAGCGAATTCCGTGCTGTTTGTAAGTATAAAGGTACATTATTCTTTAGAAGCGAATTTGTTTTTCTTTAGAAAAAGACAAACATGATATTTTAATCGTTTAAAAACAATGGATTTAGAGCATATAGCTGCTTCTTTCACAAGGAAAGTAACGCTTATTTTGAATTTATTTGTCATAAAAGTAGTAAGATATAAATAAAGAAGTACATGTATTTTGACTTCCATATAAAATACGATTTTCATTTGTTTTGAAAATGATGTGTTTAAAAACATATGTTTTTCATATGTCACTGCGAAAATTATACTGATATACGGGAATATACGGTCCCGTATTTTTGACAAATACGGGCGTGTACGGGATGTATTCGTCGAATATACGGACCAAGTATACGAGTCCGTATAGGGAACACCGGGTATACGGGAAGTCCGCATATGCATCAGGCATATACGGAATTCCGTATTTGCCCCATATACATGTACGTATATTTTTTCGTACTTTTGAAGTATACGGAGAATAAAATCCCGTATACGGACTATATCAAGGTTGTTATCCCTAGTATACTATAAATATGCCAAGGATATACGGGACCGTATTTTCTACATATACAGAGGATATACGGACTCGTATTTTCTCTGTATACAGAGGATATACGGAACCGTATATTCTACATATATAGAGGATATACGGACTCGTATTTTCCACATATACAGATGATATACGGAATCGTATTTTCTACATATACAGAAGATATACGGAATCGTATTTTCTACATATACAGTGGATATACGGAATCGTATTTTCAATATATACAGGAGATATACGGAATTGCATTTTTTAGTTGTCCACAGGGAATACAGAGCTGTATTTTCTTGATAAAAGAAGATACAGATAATATCAAAAGCATGCATTTACATATATGTGACACGTATACATGACCGAAATACAGACTTGTACAATAGAACATGTTTTATTACACATTTTGAATGGGAACTGTAAAGTCATATGCTTAAGAACTTTATCTTCACAATTGGAGTATTTCAAATAATAAAGTAAAAACCAAATCGAGTCACTCTTAAATATTTATTATTTCATAAACATATATTCAATATGTATACATATATTAAACAAATAAACATGTTTTCGCTACAAAAGTCATATTTTGTTGCAAGCCTTATTCCAGAGGGACAAATTAATGTAGCGTTGCAACGGAACGGCGATATACCGGTATGTTGCGATACAGAGTCATGAAATACGTATCACAGTGGAGAAAATCCGCACTGCGACATTTTCTTTAGAGATCGAATTATACATGTACATTTTTCGATATTTTCAAGTCGTAACCTTTATGAATTGCATGTTGTTTAAATCTAGAACAAACTATACCAACTTGAAGTTCGATTCTATTTATCTTAACAATGATTTTTATGAGCCACTTGTATTACACCCATAAAACATTTTAAAGATATTCATATCATTTGTGTTAACATTCACATATTATTTTAGGAAAATGAGTCCATACACAAATTGATTATTACAGAAAGTTTTAATAATAATCATTAAAACTAAAAATCCGTATTCACAGAAATTCGTCATACAAACACAGTTCTTAAAAGCACTTAAATATATCAATCATCTATAGGAATGTTACGTAGGCCAGTGTGACGGTGTCTATTTCGTGATGTAGGAAATGTTATCTCCAGATATTACAATCTTCTTCGGCATGTGTGTATCTGAAAAAGAGAGTTTAAAATCCTGTTTAAATAGTGTCATGAAATAGTTATCATAACTTTCAAAAAGACTATACACAAGCATTTTATGAGCGTATACATATATACATTTTTTTCTAACGCAAATTTCAAAATTATTTTATATTATTAAGGATAAAGAACCATTTACACAGGATTTAAATGAAATGATTAATCTATGACGGATGGTAAGTTATATGTTTTTATTATAAAACCTTTACGAATATATTTATTTCACACCTGTAATATAAATGATAATGGTATCTTACTTCTATGTAAAGAGTGTTTTATTGATTAAAAATATATTAATACAAAATAACATTGTATTGGGAAAAAGTGCTGACATAATCTTTTTGATCGTTTTACGATGTATATTAGCATCGTTAGTAGGAGTCAATTCGTTTGAAAAAGGGCTTTAAAAGTACAGATATTTGCTACTCAGATGTAGATCCGTGTTTGCACAATGATATCCAGTTAAGTAAAAGGCGGAATACCCAGCTATACTTCTCATTTATATAAAACGTTAAACATAACAAATTTGGATTATTGTTTGTTTCAATTTCAATTGTTTCAAAAACTATCTCAGCAACGAATGAATACCTTCAATATACTATAGTGTAGATTAATATTTTTTTATTGTTAAGACTGTTTAACTAGGTAAGTTGAATATAGAATCTCTTACAGTGTGTCATCTCTAAAAATAAAGTGATTATTCTCACAAAATATAAATCAAAATATCCTCCCTTGCCTATAGCATTAATCTGATAGTATGAAATCAAATTCAGATAATAAAATATACGTATCATATGTGACAATTGCATAAAATAACATAGGAAATATTTTAGTTAATACATGCGAATGCGACTATTACGTGCGCACGTGAAACATTTACGTATCAACGCAATATGTTTCACGTGCGCACAAGTACTGTGCGTTTAGTATGATAATTAAGTGACGAGGTGGTCAAGTCCACTATCCAGGTGTAAAACAGCTATCATATTGTGTTTATTATCTTCAAACAGGCTAGCTATATAAATTAAATTATCAACAAATTAACCAACTCTCAGCGTAATGCAGTAGGTAAGGTTGTGGTAAATATCAATGCAAGACAGCTAGGCTCGGATTGCACCTTTTCCCCAAAAATATTGCTTTATAATTATCAATCAGGTAAGAAAGTTTTGTGTCATTTATTGTAAAGATTATAAATGCTGTGATATTTTCTATTAACTTCTCATTTTGTTTTAAATGTAGCTATATTTAGCCCTATTTAGCAAGTTGGTGCAAACTTATACGGAATGCATGATACTGTACACAGACTGTTTCAACTATAGTTAAGTTTGCACGAAATACTATTGCACTGCAAAAGTACTATGACTACTACATACTACACACTATACAGGATAAAAATCACTATCATCCGTGCATGTATATCTAAATTTTTAAATATCATAACAAAACTGCCTTTCTATCCCAATTCATTTTTCTAATGTAAAATTAAAAAGACAACTTGTGAGGCTCGAACTTGTGATAAAATTTAATGTGTATGACATTCTAATGACTTTACTAACTTTGCCATCAAGACATTTCAATCTTACATTATATTCGCTTTGAAAACCCTGTTTTACCTATTGAGACAAATGTTGTTAACTTTAGTGTACATGTACAAAAGAAAATGTAACGTCACTCTCACATTATCAAAGCGGCTTACGCACGTAGTAACTAAATAAATTACTATCATTAACATATATAAAAGTGATCAAACTGTAAAGAAATACATATTTTTGATTAAGAAAAGAAAACTAATTTAATAACATAAAGTCGCATGCACATTGCATCTATATCAAACCATTGTGTGTGTTTTCGAGTTAATTCTTATATTTTATATATATTTGATTTTTGCATATTAAAAGCAAGTATGTTTCAGCATTTTCAAATGCGCGGCAAAATGCTTATATCATAAATGCCTTAATTGACATCATTTTATGAAGTGTGACATCATTTCGCCTAAGAATTGATTCTGACAAGATATAAAAGAGAACCAATGTATTTATAACTAACCACATTTATTCATGTCAAAATAAATGCGTGTAATTAAGGAAATTTGACTTTGCCTTGAGAAAGAATAAAACACATGACGTCAGTACAGAGTGGAATATATGAGTCTGGGTAACTCTTCTTTACAGACAGTACGTCCGTGTAATTGTCTTATTTTATTCACAAAACACAACAATGTATATACATGAACTTACATCTATATAACTTGCTACCATACTTTGCTTCATCTATAATTGCTATAAAGAGGGCACAGCTGCATTTCTAGAAGATTTAAACACGCTGTACACTGTCCTGAAAAATCATAATATAACTTCAGCATAAAATGATAAAGAGCACATTGAAAATATTTCATAAGTGATCACATGTGCGAAAGTGTTAATACTGTAGGAACGTGTTCACTTTTATGTGCATGTGTAGTTATGTATTTTTGTGTGTTCGTGCGTGCGTGCGTGTGTTACCATATTGCTTTATGTGAAATATAAGTCAATATATGGAATGTCGAAAAATGTGTGATGTACAAAGACTCAATATAGTTTTTCAAGCGTTTGAATTTATGTATAATGAAATATTAAATAACTGTTACCTCAAACAGGCGCGTGTTTGTGACTGACCCATGCGATATCACCTTATGCGTAATGTTTATCTTAAAAACTAAACAAAGAGTTTTAATTATAATAAGAAAAAAATATTTAAATTTTGTTGAAAACTCAGTTCATGTATATACAATTTAAAATCTGGGTAATCCTGAATAACGTAGATAAATAACCAAAAATATCGAATGAAAACCAAGAGTTGTCTGTCCTGAAATGCGAGTAAACTCGATCTTGCTAATTACTATTAATGCTAAAACAATACAAACAAAACCGTTTTAAAACTTCTGGTTTGTATCAATGTAAAAATAAACATATGAGCCGCGTCAAGAAAAAAACCAACATAATGGGTTTGCGACCAGCATGGATCCAGACCAGCCTGCACATCCGCGCAGTCTGATCAGGATTCATGCTGTTCGCTTACAAACTCTAAAACAAGTAGAGAAACCGATAGCGAACAGCATGGATCCTGATCAGACTGCGCGGATGCGCAGCCTGGGTTGGATCC